CGCATGTGCGTGCGTGCCCAAGATCCCGAGAGGAGAATGGAGGAGAAGGGATTGCGGTGTGACCATCCCCCCTGTGGGGTGATTTCTCGCTTTCTGTCTCTATGTCTCTCTCTGTCTGTCTGGCGAGCGCACGCGCCCTACAGTGAAAATCTCTCCAAAAAAAAAAAAAAAAAAGCTAGTCAGAGGGCAAGGCAAGTGACGGTACTTGCAGAGGCTGGTGGGGGAGTGCAGGGAGGGGCCTTGGGATAACTTGGCCTGAACACAGTCCTTACCCAGGGCGCTACTGCTATCTTGGTCTTTGGTTCAAAGCTGGGTACAGTTCTGCTTGGTTAACGTGGGCAGAGACTGCCCAAGCAGGGTTAGTGTCAAGGTTCTGCGAGTCCATAGATACAAAGCAACAATGGCTCCTAAAACGAACGTATTCGAAAAGACCTTCCTTGTGGGCCAACAGATGACGTAGCAGTTACGTCACTGGACTCCCACATGGCTGACTGCAATTCAAGTCTCGGATCCAGTGGCTTCAAATTCACGCTGGACATGTGTGCATGTGTGCACAAGATCCCGGGAGGAGAATGCAGAAGGAACTGCAGCGTGGCCATCCCCCCCGGAGTGATTTCTCACTTTCCCTCTCGCCGTGTGTCTCTTTCTCTATCTGAGCACACATGCCCTAAGGCAAAGACCTCTTAAAAAAGAAAAGCCGAGGCAGGCAGATGGTGTGGTGGTTAACAGTACTGGACTCTCACATGGTCGACTGTAGTTCAAGTCCCGGATCTGGCGGCTTGCTTTCTCACTCTATCTTTCTCGCACTCTCTGTGCCTCTTTGGTCAAATTAAAATAAATAAATAAAGTCAAATAAAGTGATTCTTAAAAAGAAAGAAAAAGAAGTTAAAAAAAAAAAAAAAGAGAAGACCTTCTCTGCCCTGCTTTCCCAGAGCACACCCTTCTCAGGGCCTAGGGACAGGGCTGAGGGCTAGTCTACTCTATGACAGGCCAAGGCCCGCCCCCCCTAGGGAGCCTTCTGTGTCCTGTGGCCATCTGTCCAGGTGCCACTGTGATGTGGGAGTGGCACCTCATCACATCCTGTTTTGTTGCCTCACCCTGTTTGTCCTTACAACAACCTCGAGGAAACCAAGGCAGAGTCCCATTCTCACTTATCCAATCAGGTCACTTAGAAACAGGAAGACAGGAAACCTACAGCGCCCGTGTTCCCCATTCTGCTACCTACTAACAGTTCTCTTCTGGCTCAGGGTGCAGGGGCAGGGCTGCTGCCAGATGGGCGGGGTCTCCAAGCACATTTCAAAGGGCTACCATCCACCCGTGCAGGGGAGGTGCACTGGGGAGTGCGGCCCTAGAGTAGGGCAAGATATGCCCGCAACTGGGAACCCCAGTGTCACCTCTACCCAGAGCAGCCTCTGTCCAACGATGGTGCCAAGACCCCACCTCACAAAACGTTCAAGCTTGCAGACGCCCTCCCAGCTGTTCCTGCTCCACCCACCGCCAGCTGTCAGCTTTGGGCCTCAGTTTCCTCATCTGTAAATCGGCGAGATGCTTCCACTTTGCCTATGCCTTGGCTGTGAAGCAACAGAGCGGACAAACAGAGAAGTGCTAGAGCCCCGCTCTGCACCCTCAGCCTTCACCCCCCACCCCCTCAGCAGCCTCCAGGGTGAAAAGGTCAGATAGCACAGAAGACCACCACCGACTACGCAGGCTGCTCCCCCACCCCAACAAGGCCTGGCCAGCCAATCCTCTAGCCAGCACTTCTGTCCACACCCAGAAGGCCTGACCCTTGCCAGGAGGGGTGGGCCCAGCCAGCCAGCCAGCTGCTCTCTGACCCCACTCAGCAGGGGTCTCTTGCCCAGAGCCTCACACAGACACACACCCCTCGGCAGACTCCAGCCTGTCTCGGGCCTGCTGAGCTCCCCCAGCACAATAGCCCTCCTGTACTCCCTGCCCGCCAGGCCAGGCCCGACCTGCTCCCAGGCCTGCTTGTTTTCCCAGCCGCTGGCAGGTTCCCCCAACCCACCCACAGTGTACTCCAAGCCTCCTCTCCTCTCCTTGCAACCTCCATACTTCACTCTGCTCACCCCACACTCATCCTCACCACTTCCAAGGAGCTGCAATCCAGCCCCAGCTATCCTCACCCCAGCTAACACCCCTGAAGCAGATCTTGTCTCAGCCAACTCTCTCCTGCGGCCCCGGACCTCTTGGGTCAAAAGAAACCGTGACAGATTAATTCACAACCAGGCGCCAGTGAGTTGTTAGGTATTTTAAGAGAAGGCCATGGTGTGTGCGTGGGGAAAGCTTTGCCTCTAGGAGTGAATGATTCTTGATAGAGCACAGGTCAGGTGCCCGTGTGAGGGATGTGTCCGAGGGGCCCTCCTGGTGCTCCCCACAAAGGAAGCAGGGCAGCAGGGAGCTTCAGACAGTCTCTTATTCCCAACATAGAAAATAAAACAGAATTCTTCCCTGCCTCCAGTTGGGTGAGTTCCAGAGAGGCCTGAAAACACCCCCTCCAAAACATACACCACCCCGTATCTCGTGGTTGGCAAGAATGGAGAACGGTGGTGGTGATGGTGCCTGCCCTACCTGGGAGTCTGACAGCCCAGAGCTGTGCTCTCACAGTTCAGCTGCAGGGACATCACCCGGAGGGTAAGAACTTGCAGTTTCTGACTGGATGGGTAGGGCTGGGGTGCTGGGGTGCGAGAACATGCATTTGTAACACACTCCCAGGTGGTACTGCTGGCCGCTGAGCATGCCCAGCCTACTGGACGCGTCTCCCAGACTCGGCCAGAAGCAGGCTTGAAGGAAGGGTAAGAAAAAACCTCTGGTGTCACAAAATACAGGTGGATCCTGAATCCTGAGCCAGAGGGGCAGTCTCCAGAAAGGCTGCATCACTTAGTCAGTGTAGGCCGCCATCTGACACCCTGGTTCTGGACCTCAAATGTGTGGCCTTGAGGAACCCAGGACCAGCTCTTCCACTCACTAAATCTTCTGATATATTTTTTAAAAAATTTTTTCCCCATAGGGTACGTACACTTATCAGAGATAGGTAGTGAGAGAGAAAGTGAGAAATCACCCCCCAAGGGGGATGGCCACACCAAAATCCCTTCTGAGAATGCATACACATGTGCTGAGCATGACTTTCAAATAGCCAGGTCTGGGACTTGAACTGCAGTTGGCCATGTGGAAGTCCAGTGCCTTAACCACCATGCAACCTGCCGGCCCCTCTTCTGATCTTTTTAAAGATTTTGTTTGAGAGATTTTTCCTATAGGCCACGTGTGCTCACCAGAGAGACAGAAAATGAGAAATCACCCCTCCACGGAGGATGGCCACACTGCAATCCCTTCTCCACTATTCTCTCAGGATCTTGGGCATGCATGCACACACACCCACGCACCCACGTAAGTTTTAAGCAGCCAGGTCCTGGACTCAAACTGTGGTTGACCAGTGGGAGTCCAGCAATATAACCATTACGCCATCTGTTGGTCCCAAAACCACCTTTTAAAATTCTACTCTTACATATCATGCACTTTATAGCTCGTATCTCTACCCTTTATTCCCACAGTGGGAGGAAATCTCCCTAGAGCCTTAAGAAATAAAAGCAGATAGCTCTGGGGGATGAGCAGTTAACATAATGGCTATTTCGCTGGACTCCCATGTCGTTGACCATGGTTTGAGTCCTGGACCCGGTGGCTTAAACTCATGCCAGGCACATGTGCGTGCATGCCCAAGATCCCGAGAGGAGAATGGAGGAGAAGGGATTGTGGCGTGGCCACCCCCTCCCCGGGGGGGTAATTTCTCGTTTTCTGTCCCTCTGTCTGTCTCTGTCTTTCTGGTGAGCACACACGCCCTATAGCAAAAACCTCTCAGAAAAAAGGAGATAGCTCTGGCAATTAGAGATGAGTAGGGGATGGAAAAAAAAAATTCTAAGAAAAAAAAAAGCCGCCAAGGGGGTCAAGGTTGTTGTAAAATTTGCCTTAAAACCTGAACCCAATGCTCGTTTCTAGCTCTAGGATTCTATGAGAGAACTATGTTTAAAGAGAGCTGTTTCCTTTTTCTTTTTTTAGAGGTTTTTGCTATAGGGCGCGTGCGCTCGCCAGACAGAGAGACAGAGAGACAGAAAGCGAGATATCACCCCCCAGGGGGGATGGCCACACCGCCATCCCTTCTCTCCTCTCAGGATCTTCGGCACACACGCACACGCGCCTGGCGTTGAGTTTTAAGCCACCGGGTCTGACTACATGGGAGTCCAGCGACATAGTCATTTACGCTCACTGCTGGTCCCAAGAGAGCTGTTTTCTAATTAGGAAACACAAGAGCTCCTTGCTAATCTTCTCAGCTGGAAGAAAACCTTGCTGGACTAGAGGGAGGAAGGTACACAGATCCTCTAAAAAGGATAGCAGGCATGCCCAGATCAGCCACAAAAGAGGGGTATATACAGCCTTTCCTGCCAAGTCTGTTTTAAAGCTGCCTATCTTGGGCTGGCTCTGTGTTCTGGTGGTTGAGGAACTGGGTCCCACATGCTGGCTGTGCAGTGCAACTTCTGGACTCAGTAGCTTGAGAAACACACCAGGTGCATTTGCAAGCATGCCCAAAATCCCAAAAGGAGGAGGATGGAGAAGGGATTAAGATGTGGCCTTCCCAGGGGGAGGTGCTTTGTCCTCTCCCCCCCTCTCTCTGACAGGTACATATGCCCTCAGGCACACAAAAAAGAAAAAAGTAATGGTTCTTACTGTCAGTTTGAAACTGCTTTATTGTTCTCAAATAAAATAATTTCTAGCATTCCACCCCCCCCCACCCCCGCCCCGGGCCCTCTCATCCCATCCCCTGCTGTACTCTCACCGGCACACGCAGGCCCTAGCACATCACAAACAGGTGTGACTGCTGTCTCCTTCAAGGCCTCCAGCTGCCAGGGTTCCCCATCCATACCCTAGATGGCAAGAGCCCGATGTGAGGCTGAAGAACTAAAGTAAAATCAAGAGGCTGGGAAACTTACTTCTTAAAACTTAATTTAATATCCTTTCTCCCCCTCCCATCCCAATTGGGAAAGGCCAAAACAGTCTGGTTGGGTTTAATTACAAATTAATACATGTTTTTTGTCATTGGGTAAAAGTAATCAACATTGTGGCAATAAAGGACTATCCTTGGAAAAAGTGAAAACCATATTAACAAAAATATGTCATAGGAGAAGTCAATGATTTCACTGGCTCCTTAAAACCAGTGAAAAGGTCAACATTCCGCATGCCTGTGGGGCTTGTCCACACCGTGGAAAAGAGGTCGTGCCCAGACTCAGTCAAGGCCAGTCAGCTCCGCAGGCTCTGTCGCAGAGCCAGTAAGAGCAAAGGGAGAGGGCATCCCTATAGGAGAGGGCAGAAAAGGCAGACCGGGGAAGTCCTGCAGTTTCACGTACAAGCCCGTGGGGGAAAAGGAGGCAGGAAGTTAGAGGAAGGCTTAACATGAAACACTCTGTCAACCTCCAAATTTTTTTTTTTTTTTAAAAAAGAACTACAAAATCATAGGAAAGAAAGAAAAAAGTCATAGTTTGTAATTATTCTGAGTAAGTTTAAACATGGTCTCAGCTTTCTTCTTCCGTATGCAGACGCCATCCTTTCAGGACTCTGCTCGACCTGCGAGGCCCCACGGGGACCCTGCTTAGTGGCCTGAAGGCAGTGGTTACACATGCGTGCATGCACTAGTGCTTGCAGAGATGCACGTGTGTATCTATGTAAACATTTATTACAATAAAATAGTTAGGGAAACCTGGGGGTGCCAAGGCCTCAGAGGCCCACATCCTTCCAGTCAGAGCTCCATGTGACAACCTCTACCCATGGATTTCTCTCTAATTTGGAACACGCCATCTTCCCTTAGGATAGCCTCATAACAAGGAGCGTGGGCAGGCCCAAGGACAAAGGTCCTAGGGATGTGTCATGGGTGACGTTTTTCACATGTCAAGGAAACAGGAGCGCCATGAGTCATTTGAGAGTTTCCTACCCTTCCTGACTCCCTCCCCTGCACGAGAAGCCACTGAACGCCTCCTCCTTAAGCATTTTGGCTGCACCCTCTCGCCACATATGTCAGTAACATTCCAGGCTGGCTACCACATGCTGGGGCTCTGGTCTCCTTCCCGCCCTACTGTCAGTGCTCTGCTGTTTCAGGGGCACGCTGGGGCCACGCGGCTCCCATTTCAGCTCCATCTTCAGTTGGTCACACATCACAGAAGCTACCACATTAAAAAAAAAATAGTTCCAAAAGAATATCCACATTTGAAATACCTATTTCCTCTAAGATAATTTTTTAAAATTCCACTCGATGATCACTGAAGTGAGTTAGACAAAGTGTGTGTGTCTGTACACACAAAGACACACACCCCAGCAAACACCCACAGAATTTAGAGGACTGGGAGAAGGCTGTTTCCTGCCAGAAGATCTAACAGAGGAAAGCTTCTGTGCTGATCCGGTTTAATAAGGTGGCTAACAAGGAATGTACGCCATTTAGCAAGCACACAGCACTGGGGCTAGGACGGCTGCTCCTGAACTCGGGCTCCGCCGCCCGCTTTCTGCCTCCCTGTGGATCAGTGCCAATAGCTGCTACATTCAGAGAACCCACGAGGACTGCATGGACAGATGAACCTTTATTTAAAAAAATAGCACTTCAAATAAATTAAGAGGGACAACCGTCAAGTGTTCAAATTGTGAAGAAATAGTTGAAAACCTAGAGAGACTCCAAGCTGCAGTCTTCCAACCTCATTCTTTGTCCAATGGCAAAACCCCACACATCTCAGTCCTCCCACTCAATTTTTTCCCTACTGAGATGAGGGAAGCAATTGCAAAAAGGAGACCAGACGGAGGAGAAAGCTGCATCTGATTGGAATGAACATTGCCACGTACTTGCTAATACGGGTTTCACTTTATGACCAAATGTATTCTTTCAAAAATAAAAAAGGAGAGAGGGAAGCTGCATGTTTTTAAAAATTGAAATCATTTAGGGATAAAACACTAACTCTAGTGCCTTTAACGGGCAATAGCAACTTTTTTCCTCCGAAGTCAAACACCATCCCCAGCTGAGCCTTTGTGCTACAAGCTTTTCAGGAGATGTTACCTAAACTTTATTAAAAGAAAAGAACAAGTTTAAATATAGACACTGGACTAGCCCAGTCTGTATTTTCAAGTCCACATTCTTCATCTGAAGCATTGCATCAGGGACCCCCCTGAGTCTGCATGTTTTCAAGTTCACAGTACATGGAACCAGTTTCCTTTTTAATTTTTTCCTCACTCAGAGCAGCCACACACAGTGGCCGTTGACGCCGGAACCTCGGGCAGGGCCTTTTCCTACGAGGCCTGGCCAGAGTGCCCAAGGCTTCTCCTTAATGAGAATCGATGCTGTCATGCTCTATGGATGGGAAAAAAGCAAGAAAATAAAAGCACCTGGTACAGGTTTCATGAGATCCATTTGGATTCACTATATTCCAAACCCACTGCTGAATGCCACTTGTCCACTTTGTGTGTGTCGAACAGTTCGTGGCCTTGGAGCCAGTCTCAATTCGAAGAACTGTTATTGGATGCCCCCGAGGTTGACGCAACAGCAGCTCCTGCGGGGCTACTTGTGGAGACTGACTTTCGGATGTGAGGCAGCAAGTAGGGGTCACAGGCCAGTTGCTGGACGTCGATGCGGTCCTCCTTCCGGTAGGCCAAGCATCGTCGGATAAACGCCTGCAAAGGAAAAGTTCTTGAAAAAGACTGAAGCAGGTAATCTTGGCACATTCAGAGAGAGCCCCAGAGCTCCGTATCAGCTACCAGGCCCCAAGCAACCTGTAAAGGGAGGGGTTGAGGCCTTTCCTGGAAGCCAGCAGGCAGACTCCAAGATCAGGGAAGGAGCCACACTGACGGCAGTCCCTCTCTGCCACCACTGCCCTCTTCTCTGACAGAGGGGGTGGAAATGTGCCTGAAGGGGGGAAGGGGTGAGGCCTCTAAATACTCTTTCCTGAAAGCACTAAGACCACCAAGAAAACCATTTTACCTGTTGGTTTGAGTAGGAATATCTAACTTCATGGTCCCACATCTGTAAGCCATGGTCTCATTGTGGTGGTGGAAATTTGAATGACAAATACACACTGGGTACGTGCCTGTGTGCCCACGATCCTCAGGAACTGAAGGGCTGGGGAAAGGGGATTGTGGCATGAAAAATTCCTCTGGAGGATGCTTCTCTCCCTTGCGGGTATGTGCATTTTTTAAAAAATGATAAGAATTTTTTTAAAATAATAAGCTATCATTAAAAAAAAAAAAGCTATGTAACAGCTGGCTTCATAGCCTAGTGGTTAAGGGAGCTAGATCCCATACAGCCAACTGTAATTCAAAATTCAAATTCCAGTCCAAACGGTTGAAAAACACACCATGCATATGTACATGCATGCACAAAATCCCGACAGGATAGAAAAATGAGGAAAAAAGATTGAGGGCTGACCGTACTCCCCACCGAAGGTGCCTTCTTCCCCTCTCCCTGGTGTGTGCATGTGCATGTGCATGTACTCTGGCCAAAAAAAAGTGTGTGTGTGGGGAGGGTGGCTATGTAAGTCTTAGCGTCTACAACTCTCATCATAAAGAACCTTTTTATTGTCTATCGTTTCCTGCTTTCCTTTTTTTTTTTTTTTGGAGAGGTTTTTGCTATAGGGCACATCATCAGAAAGACAGAGAGAGACAGAAAGCACGAAATCACCCCCCATTGGGGATGGCCATGCCGCAATCCCTTCTCCTCCCAGGATCTTGGGCATGCACGCACATGCGCCCAGCGTGAGTTTAAGCCACCGGGTCTGGGACGCGAACCATGGTCGACGACATGGGAGTCCAGCGACATAGCCATTACACTAACTGCTGGTCCCCTTGCCTTCCTATTTTTATCCAGAAGTTATACTTAATCAAAGATTTATAACATATTTTTAATAAATGGATTAACTTTTTAAATCTAAAACATCACTATAACCAAAAGTCCACATTTTATAGCAGAATGATAATGAGGAGCCAGTGTGGGTTCACCAACTGCAAACATGTCAGTCTGGTGTAGGATGTGGAGTGGGGAGGTTGGACCTGTGGGGACAAGCAGTACACGGAAACTCTTTGTACTTCAGTTTTGATCTAAACCTTAAACTGCTCTAAAAAGTAAAGTTTCTTTAAAATCTAGTGCAAGTCCCATGGCCTGGTAGTTAATAAAGCTGGGTCTTGGGGCCAGTAAGCGGTGTGGTGGTTAAGACAATGGATTCCCACATGGCTGACCACAGTTTGAGTTTGGAGCTGCCAGCCTGAAAATCATGCTGTGTATGTATGCATGTGTGCCCAAAATCATATAAGGAAAACAGAAGGAATTGTGGCGTGGCCACCACGCCTGAGCGGGGATGATTTTTCACTTTCCCGCTCTGTCTCTTTCTGGTGAACACACAAGCCCTATGGCAAAAAAGAGAGAGAGAGAGAGAGAGAAAAGTGACATCTCACAAGGCTGACCACGTGGACTTGGCAGCTTATACCAGGCACAAGCACACACACATGGCCACAATCACGAGAAGGATGGAGAAATGGAAAAGGGACTGCAGCATGACCACACTCCAGTGTGGGGGGATGCTTTCTCAGTCTCCCTGGCAAGTGCACACTCCCTCTGTAAAATAAAATTCAAAAGTAAAAAACAAAATCTAAAATATGGAACAAGCTATTCCTATAGCTACAGTTTCTAAAAATATTTTCTATTTTTTCCATGTTTAATTAAGAAAATATAAAAACATAATGCTAGTACTGATTTTCAAAATCAAAGGTTCTTGCTTGATTCGAGAGAGAGAAAGAAATATAGAAAAAACCTAATGATCCATGACTTTAAAAATTCACGTTTCTGGGACCAGCAAATGGCAAAATGGTTACGTCGCTGGACTCCCACATAGTCTACTGCAGTTCTAGTCCCAGACCCAGCAGCTTAAAACTCATGCCAGGCACACGTGTGCATGAGTGCCCAAAACCCTGAGAGGAGGATGGAGGAGAAGGATTGTGGAGTGGTCATCACCCGAAAGGGGATGACTTCTTGCTTTCTGTGTCTCTCCAGTGAATGCTCATACCCTATGGCAAAACAAACAAACAAACAAACGAACAAAACAAAACAAAAAATCCTCTCTCTAAAAAAAAATAAAAATAAAAATAAAAAGATAAAATAATGTTTCCTAGTGAGATACACAGAACTGGCATTAAACAACTTATCCTGGATTGGATACTGGTCAAATAAACCTGTTATCCTTGATTTCCCTCTATATAGCAGCCAGCAGATGGCACGGCCGGCCCAGTGAGACTCTTTGGCTGCTTTCCCTCACATTTCAAGTCCCTCAGCGCCAGATGTGGGGGCACCTGGGCATGGGTAGTAAGAGCAGCTACAGAAGGTACCAAGTGTAGGTGCTCTTCAGGCCACCTGAACCACCATCTACCTCTGGGGGGGTGTTTTGTCTTTTTTATGGATGAGGAAGAGCACCCCAAAGGGGCCACCTCTCCTGCCACTGCCCCCGGCTCTGCCTGTCCTGTGGACTGCCTAGGCTCATTCTCACATCAGAGCTGCACTCACTTCTCTCTGCTTGGGATGCTTTCCCCCAAGTCCCACATGGTTTCCGCTTTCACATCATTCAAGACACTGCTTCACTGAGGTCATCAAAAATAAGTTTCAATCTCCCCACCCTCTCATTCTGATTTATTTTCTTCACAGTATTTCTCACCATTGGACATGTATCCATTTTGTTTTCTCGCTTGTTTCACCCAGTAAAATGCAAGCTTCTCAGGGCGGCGACCTTGTGTGGGCAGTTTACTGCCACAGATCAGTTCCATCTCCACTACCTTGACTGGTGCCTTGGGCACGACGGGTACTCAGTAAACATTTGTTGTGGGAACAGAGGCGAGGAGAGAGTAGGGGCTGGAGGGTTACATATTCAGAAGGAGGAGCAGGAGGATGGAGCTTGGAGACAATTAGTGGGAAGATCTGGAGATCACTCAGTATTCTTCATAGCAGATCCATCCAATGGTCTCTAAAGCTGGGGAACATTCCCTCACCTATTTATTGAATAACCACCAAAATTCGACAAAAGTGGTTTAAAGAATGTCTCTAAAGACCTGACAGATGAGGAGAATTAAGCATCTGCCAGATGGCAAATCCAAGTCTCTCAGCACCAAGTGTGGGGGCACCTGGGCATGGGTAGCAAGGGCAGCTGCAGAAGTCACCAAGTGTGGGTGCTCTTCAGGCTGCCTCAGACTCCATCTACCATTCAAGGAAGGCGTTTTTTGTCTTTGTTTTATGTATGAGTAAGAGCAGCCAAAAAGGTTTAAGGAAACTCCCCCCAAAGTTATAAAGCTACTAAGTCCAGAGGTGACATACTGACACGAGGTCTGCCTGGCGTCAAAGCTAAGTCTCTTCTCTCCAGCCCTCTCCCAGGACAGCATTTGCGTCAGGAAGGCATTAGGGGACTTCACCCCTGCAGACTGAACTTCTTAGTTAGGCTGGACTTCAATTGCTGGATGAGGAGGGCAGGAAGCCTTCAGCTGGGAATTATAAACAGGTGGTATAGCCGTTCCTTCCTACTCTGTAACGTGCCAGCTAAACAGGTGCTTCCCTACCCTACCCCACAGAGGGGCAGTGTGAGCCCACAGCTGGGCCCAAGCCCTGGTAGAAGGGGTAGGCCAATAACCACCCACTTTAAAATGTGCCCTGACCACGGCACCCAAGGGGGTGCCAGCATCTACCTATCTAAGTAGAACTGGCTAATATATCAGAGATAAGTGACACAGCGAGGACAAACTATGGGTAGCACACCAAATCTTGGTGTGCTCATGAAGCAAGACGGAAGTGGTTATTCAAAGCTCCCTTTCCTCACCTCCCATTCCAAGTCTTCTTTGCCCCATGATTGTTTTAGTAATGCCCTCACCAACTGCTACAGAATTTACTGCTCACCACTCCTGTGCCATTTAACCCTGTGACGCCTTAGTACCCTTATATATTCTTCCTCTGTGGTCCCTTGCTTCCCAAGTTGGTCACAATCACTGAATAGGGACAAGCTGGGGTGCCCTTTGTATTAGCCATGATGAAGAATCTGCTCTCCCTTTCCTTCTCTGACTGCAGGGAGCCTTTAGGAAAAAAAAGAAAAGAAAGGAAGAAAGAAAGAAAAAAAAAAACCATCAAATTCCCTTTACTGCAGTTAGAGATGGAGTAAGCTGGGTTGTAAAGCAATATTCTTCTGTTGTTCTTAGGAATATTATCTTGGGACCAGCAGATGGCGTAATGGCTATGTCGCTGAACTTTCCTGTAGCCAACCGTGGTTCAAGTCCCAGACCGGGTGGCCTAAACTCACACCGGCCGCATGTGTGTGCGTGCCTAGGATCCTGAGAGGAGAATGGAGGAGAAGGAGAAGGGATTGTGCCATGGCCATCCCCCCATGGGGGTGATTTCTCGTTTTCTGTCTTTCTCTGTCTGTCTGGCGAGCGCACTTGCCCTATCGCAAAAACCTCTGCAAAAAAAAAAAAAAAAAAGAAGAAGAAGAAGAAGAATATTAAGCTAAGCTTACCCTAATTTTTAAGTGACTCCTAAATCTCACACTGAAGAATCCATTCACTATTATCCAAAGAAACGGTATAGAAATTAAAGCAATCATTACTGCTGGCCAATGGGTCAAAACATACCTTCGCTTCAGGTGTTACCACTGGCTTTGGCGGAAACTGTACTTCAGTAGCTTTAAGAATAGTATTTTCTTGTAAAATGTCTTGCTGGGACTGATTATGACCAAAAGGCTGTCATAAAAATGAAAGAAACAAAAGATGAGTCTCTGGTTAAAATTAAACAGAACATAATTCAATACCATAGGGAAAGGAAAGGAGAGGATATCTCCCAATAAGGACTACTAGAAGAAACTCTGGTTATGACCTCATTTTATAGATACAGGGGCAAAGGGTTCAGGGCTTAAATAACTTGTTCATGGTCCAACTTCCGGGTCAAGGCAAAGCTGGGAGCCAAAGCAGCAACTCCTATATGGTAAAAGCTCTGCTAAGCTCTGCTACAGCTAAGGAAGGACAATTCAGAGCAGGAACCAGATACTTCTTTTGCTCTGAGGTTTAAAAAAAAAAAAAAAAGACAGACACAAGGTAAAAGAGATGCACACAAGGAAGCAGTACAGTATGGAAGGTGCAGAACAGAGTGGGAAGACAGGAACTGGGGCTAGCTGGGGGCTTCATCTGTGCCCCAAGTTGCCATTTTCTAATAAACTCCTACAAATGACTTCAAGTCTACTGTCATCTCAGAGCTTCTGTCTAGATAAACTCTACCACCATTATCAGAAGCACTACCCCATTATCAGAGGGAATAAACGCAATTCAACCCACTCGTCAGAAGTGTCCCTGCTGTAGAGAGGGAGGATAAAAGCAGATCGAGAAGTTAAAGGGGAAACTGACCCGAATTAAGAGCTTGGTCTAGGGAATACACTAGGAGTGGGGAGCACTGCAGGACTCCCATCTGGGTTATCCCCATAGCCCAAGAGTAAACACTGAAATGTACAAACACACTAAACAGCAGAAATAGGCATATAAACACACAACTGGATCCTAATACATACATTTATAAGACAAGCTTACAAAGCAAGTACTAATTTGAAAGTTAAGTGTCAATTACTACCTAAGTTATTACATGTTCAAATGATATGTTGCCTCGATCAGAGTTCAGAGACAATGAATACTTTCTGACACCATTTCCCCAGTATAAAAATATAAAGCGTGCTTTATTAATAAGAGCTTTAAGTAATGGGGTGGTTGAAAATAAAGCATCTGGAGAGATTTCGAGCTTTACTTCTTGGGACCCTTAAGAATGGATTCTTGTATACTTTAATAAACTATTTCGTGCAAATCCCTACACAATTATCAGAATGAAAACATGTCCTGCATCTCATTGAAAACAGTTAAAATGCATGTTTTCAACAGCCCAGCAGACTTATTAGGTGTCTTAGGGTCAACAGTGTCTGCTTATGCATAAAGCATTTATTATTAAGCCTGTTTTTTCCTTAGAGCACTACTTTCAGGATCCCATTTTGTATAACCCGATGATTAACTAACTCCAGAAGACCAATCCACACTGAGCACTGTGCACACACACCATCCATGGGGGAAGAAGCCGGTGCCTCCACCTTCCTCCCCACCTACCTTCCTTCCATAGAGACACTGATAGAAGATCACGCCCACTGACCAGACGTCAACTTTATTTGAGATCTTTGGTGGTTCTTTCCCAACCACAAAACACTCTGGTGGTAAATACCTGGGACAAAAGAGAAATAAGAATTCTTAGAAAATTATAATATCAATCTAAGACATATTCAGAAAGGCAAAATAAAAGACCTTGTTGAAAACAGGGATATCTAAATTACAATAGTCATCACAGACATCTATGAGAGTCAGTGAAAAGACACGTCAACATGGAGGGGCAGTAATGTCTGTATGGGGTGGTAACCACACTTTCCAACGTACGGGGCAGCAAACAACCTCTGCATTCCCACTTCAGTCAGCCCCAGCCTTGGTTCCCAGGATTAAGCCTAATATATCAGTGTCATACAATAAGTTTTTGTTTGTTTACTTGTTTTTTTTTTTTAAAAAGAACAAGCTATGGGACTAGCAGGTGGTGCAGTGGTTAAGGTGCGAGATTCCCACATGGCAGACCACAGTTTGAGTCCCAAACCAGGCAGCTTGAAAATCAAATGAGATAGGGAAAGTAGCAGGTGGCGTGGTGGTTACAGTGCTGGACATCGTGGCTAGAAAATCCACTGGGCATGTGTGTATGCATGCCCATAATCCCAAGAGGAGAATGGAAGAGAAGGAACTGCGATGTAGTCATCCCTTCTGGGTGGTGATTTCTTACTTTCTCTCTCTTTCTCTAGCAAGTGCACTTGCCCTATGGCAAAAACCTAAGTTAAAAAAAAAAAAAGAAAAGAAATCAGGTAGGGTGCACATGTGTGTGGGCCTAAAATCCTGACAGGAGGATGAAGAAAGAATTGTGGCCTGGTCACACTCCCTGGAGAGTGATTTCTCACTTTCTGACAAGTGTGCTCACTCTGGCAAAAATCTCAAAAACAGAGAACAAGCTAGGAAACACAAAGCTCGAATCCATGTTCTAGTGAACTTATATAGCAGAGGTACAGACTTGTTTCTAGAAGGATTTTTTTTGGGGGGGAGAGATTTTTGCTATAGGGCATGTGCACTCACCAGAAAGACAGAGACAGAAACTGAGAAATAACTCCCCCAGGAGGATGGCCACACCGTAATCCCTTCTCCTCCATTCTCCTCTTGGGATCTTGGGCACACATACACATGCACCCAACATGAGTTTAAGCCACTGGGTCCAGGACTTGAACCATGGTCGACTACATGGGAGTCCAGCAACATAGCCATTACGCTGGTCCCTCCAGAAGTTCTTAACAGTAGATATATGTGTGTGTGTATACATATACACACAAATATGCATACATACATACACACACACATTTTTTTTTTTGGGGGGGAGAGGTTTCTGCTATAGGGTGCATATGCTTGCCAGAAAGACAGAGACAGAGAGATAGAAGGCAAGAAATTACTCCTCGGGGGGCTAGCCACGCCGCAATCCCTTCTCCTCCATTCTCCTCAAGGGATCTCAGGCATGCACACACACATGCCAGGCATGAATTTAAGCCACCAGGTCCAGGACTTGAACCACAGTCGACTACATGGGAGTACAGCAACATAGCCATTACACCAATTACACCAATTGCTGGTCCCAACAGTAGATATTTCCGTATCATTTAGTGACAGGAACACTGGCCCACAATAACTACCATAATGAATAAACACGGTAAATACAGCTTCTGTTTTAAACCTAGAATTTCAAAGTTTTAATTTAAGGGCTAACTTTTCACTACAGGTACTGTATCCACAAACAGTATGAAGTAACTGAAAGCAGAGTGCAGTGTACGTTAGCAGCATTCAACTGATTAAGACGAGGCAGACCTGCGTGTGTGTTCCCTGTCTGCTTCCTCTTTGCTCCCCTCATCGGTATCCTGCTAAAGCCAGGGAATTCTTGATATACCCCTACATAAGCTACCTCACTCTCTACTGACTTGTAAGACCAACTCTGTGTCGGAAACATACAGCTCAAACATGTAAAGCTCTCTGTCAAGGGTTTTCGAGAAAGGTAAAAAATATTAAGACAAACTGATATAATTAAAGGAGTCAAACTGCTGAAAAGATAGTAACAACCTGGGGAGGAAAGTCTGCTTTGGTTTATAGCACTTTTGCCCAACAGACAGAACCCAGAAATTAATTATAAATTACCAATGCTTCAGCATAGCAGAGTCACCTGCCAGCCTGGCAGACTTCCTGGATACCTACCAATAAGTACCAGCACCTTGTGATGTTAGCTCCATGCCATCCACTGAATTGTAGCTATCATCATCCATGATCTTGGAAAGACCAAAATCTGTAATTTTTATCTCTCCACACGCTGTACCATTTACTAAAAGAATATTACCTAGAAAGATAAAAACCTTCATGAATAAGCAGAGACATAATGATTAAGAGAACAATTTGAAATAATTTATAAGGTAAAACTGAACTCAAACTCTTGCATGAGTACAAAACATCTAAATCTTTGGAATAACAATCTGGAGCAAGCAGGTGGTATGGAGGTTAAGGTGCTGGACCCCACATGGCTGGCTGTGTGGTTTGAGTCCCAGAGCCGATGGCTTGAAAATCATGCCAGGCATAGTCAAGTACATATCTAAAATCCCAAGAGGAGAATAGACTGCAGCATGATGGCCCTCCCAGGGGGTGATTTCTCACTTTTCATCTATCTCGCACACACGCTGTATAGCAAAGAAAAAAAAGCAAAACAAAACCTACAGAAAAGAAAAGACTTCAGGACTCTGGGTGTCAAGAGAGACCTCAGAATCTGTTGGAAACTTTTTTTTTTGGTGGTGGTGGTGGGGGTTTGCTATAGGGTATGTGCACTCGCCAGAATGACAGAGAGAAACAGAGAGACAGAAAGCGAGAAATCACCCCCCAGGAAGGATGGCCACGCCACAATAATCCGGTAAAACTGAACTCAAACTCTTGCATGAGTACAAAACATCTAAATCTTTGGAATAACAATCTGGAGCAAGCAGGTGGTATGGAGGTTAAGGTGCTGGACCCCACATGGCTGGCTGTGTGGTTTGAGTCCCAGAGCCGATGGCTTGAAAATCATGCCAGGCATAGTCAAGTACATATCTAAAATCCCAAGAGGAGAATAGACTGCAGCATGATGGCCCTCCCAGGGGGTGATTTCTCACTTTTCATCTATCTCGCACACACGCTGTATAGCAAAGAAAAAAAAGCAAAACAAAACCTACAGAAAAGAAAAGACTTCAGGACTCTGGGTGTCAAGAGAGACCTCAGAATCTGTTGGAAACTTTTTTTTTTGGTGGTGGTGGTGGGGGTTTGCTATAGGGTATGTGCACTCGCCAGAATGACAGAGAGAAACAGAGAGACAGAAAGCGAGAAATCACCCCCCAGGAAGGATGGCCACGCCACAATAATCCCTTCTCCTCCATTCTCCTCACGGGATCTTGGGCACGCACGCACACGTGCCAGGCGTGCGTTTAAGCCACCGGGTCTGGGACTCAAACAGCGGTCAACTACATGGGAGTACAGCGACATAGCCATTAAGCCAACTGCTGGGCCCGAAAACTTGTATTTTCTAAGAGTCACCTGCATAACATGCCAAAACCACCACCATGAGCACTGGGAATAAAAATAATTTGCCAAAGTAAAGTATCAACTATACAGTTCCTTAAAAGTGGGTGGAAGTTTCTGAACTTTCAGCGAGAATCTCTAAACAATCCTGTTCAGAAGAGCAGTTTCAGAAAAAGGGGGGAAAAATTAAACACAGAAAGAACCAAAGCTAGCATCACAGCGCCACCTACAGCTTCTACTGTAGCAAAGTGTTGAATTCAGTGATGAAAACCCTCAACTTTAAAAAATCACCCTATAACTAATTTTTTAGTTACCTGGCTGATAAAACATTAGTGAATAATGAAATTCAATACAGAGCTGTTATAGTTTATCTACATAGAACACATGCGGCCTCCTATAAGAACAGCTGAGGATAACAAACAACAGAGGTAAGCAGTCTAAGTGATGATCAGTCATCTTTGCCGATGACTATCAACGTTAGAAGATAACCACACAAAAAGACGAAAACTTTGCTCAGAATCTAATGAAATGGAAGGTATCTGTGCAAAATATATGTCGTTATCTGGGCACTTATCAAAAGGACTGCGAGCACATGACTGCTGTATAGTGTGAGTAATGGAAAAAGCAAACCTGAACTTGCTAGAGCATTTCTTTTTAAATGGGACTGACATCATGAGCTTCCCTGGCTCCAAAGACAAAGGCATTGCTCCTTCGGAGTGTACTAACCCAACTACCCCCCCCCAAGCCCAGCGCTGCGTGGGCAGGACTTCCTTCTTCCCATGCCTACCCAGGCACCTCAAATGTCATTAGGCCTACTTGGCTCCTGACTAATTCTCTAACATCATAAAATTAAATTCACTTATAAGACCAAAGAAAAGCCACCAATGCTGTCTCCTAAAAGTAAGACATACCTGGTTTGAGGTCATAGTGTATGATGGGAGGTTTTATTTCATTTAAGTACTTTAAAGCATTCACAATCTGCATGATAATGGATCGGGCCTCTTTCTCCGACATTAATTTGTGCTGTTTCAGGTAGAAGTCTAGATCATTGCCCTCACAGTATTCTAATACTGTACAAAACCTAAAAACAAAAATAACAAGATTTAACCACAGGATAAGAATACATAGGTTAAAACTATCTAAACCAGTCCTGGAGAAAACTTTGGGTAATGAGTCAGTTTCCTGCTCCTTTCTTCCTTGTTCCTTAAAATACTCCTCTATTCTTTATGTAGCAATAGCTACTTGAGTGGTTCACAGAAGAATACAGCCACCCTCTTAGCAAAGACTTAGCAAAGCGTTGGACCCTGTGTGCTGAAGGTCACTGTGGCCTACCTCTTCAGAGTCTAGACCAGAGGAGCACTGACCAGGACTACGAAGTATTTACACTACCTATCTTCTTGGAAGGGTCTCCTTAACACACGCACATCACACGTCTACATCTAAACAACCTTACCGATGTCAAGTACACAATTCTCACTATGAACATTTTACGTATGTCTGAGGGCTGACGTATATAAAATACGGAGGGAGGAAGAATCTAGGATTTATCTAGGTCCCGAGAACTGGCTTCATGCTATGTCTCCTGAGGGTGGGACACAATACTGCTCTACACCTGTGCTTTGCTAAGTATAATGTGTCACAGAACTTGCAAAGTGTGGTATCTGTGATGCTAACAAAGTACAGATTACAAAGTACAGATTCTTTTTCTTTCACTTATGTTAATAACTCATACAGACCCAAATTTAATTTTAAATTAAACTACAGACCACCTGCACACTACAAGTCATGTGTTCATCTCCCAAGGTGTTATAAGCAGAAGTGAGGCTTCCTAAACTGTTTGAATCTGCTTGGGAGACTGATATCTTTTGAACTGTTCTAGTTGTAACCATGTGGGTATATCAGTCAGGGGCTAGCCAGGAAATAAAAACCTCTTGAGTATCTGAAACAGAGGTTTAATTCAGGGAACTGATCACCAAGATGATGGAAGAGCTGAGAAGACAAAATGGCCGCTGAGGCACCCAGAGATCATCTACAGCAGGAAGGCATTAGCACCCTAAGGCCAAAGGGAGGATATGGTGGAGCCAAAACTCAGGTTACCAGGGGAATCTGGAACTACTTGTATGTCAGTGTATGTGCATGTGTGTACAAACACCTCCCATCTCTGCCTGCTATTGGCTGAACCCAGCTGGATCCCAACAGACCCTTAAGGCTGGTAAATACAGCCTACAGTGTCCACCTGCCTAAGATGCAGAGCAGAGGAAGGGGGAAGGGGAGAAAGCAGACCTGAAAGTAGGCCCAGGTCTAACAATATGGTTGCTGGGCAATTGGAGGCCTTCAAAAATCACCACACTTTAACCTGCACACACAGGGTCCTGTAGAATCTGGAAACTGAGCAATAGCTTATGTTTTTTAGGCTATCAATAGGGTGTGCTAGCACCCTGCTGGAGGACAAACGTCTGAAATTTATAGATTCTCAGACCTGAGATGCTGAAGTCTGAGAAACAGACTCTCATGCTCAGTGCGCAATTCTCTGATCCAAATGTAGGCTGAAATAAAACCTCACTTTTATTTGCCCAATCAATTCTCAGAAGCCTTTCTAAAATGATGGTGTGACTTATTTTTGATAAAAAGTCATTAATATATAAATAGGAAGAACAAGGTTAAAAACTCAAGAATCAACTGAATTTCCCACATTAGGTAAAACTGTGTACATGCCCAGGGGGTCTTCTCCAGATTCAGTCCAGACACCTAGAGAGAAACATTCCCCAAGGCTGAAACATTCCCAACCTCCTGGGAAACCCTAAAAGCTCCAGAGCTTATCCCTAACAGGTAACAACATACAACAACAGCCAAGATTATCAGAGATCTTAGACAAGTCATTTACCTTCTCTGGTCCTCAGAATCTACCTATAAAACGAGAAGGCTGGACTCAGATCCCTTCCTGCTCTAACCTCCTCCAAGCCACAGAGCCTCCATTCCAACATGCAGCACTGGGCTCTGCCTTAGTGTGGTCGGTCACTGCCCTTGTTCTAGGACATCATGTTGCTGCTACTTTGTTCATCAGTCTCTAGGGTAAAGCAACGACATTCTCAACAGCCTATCCCTCACTGGTGCATCTCAGCAAGTATGCTGGCTCCAAGTTGTGCCAGTTCCCAAGATATGACTTAAATATTCAGGAATTTTGTGAGCTGGTTATTAAACCATTTGAAGAGCAAATGGATAAGCAAAATATGGTGTACACTAAAATAGTATTCAGTCATAAAAAGTTGCTATTAAACACTGATACGACAGACAAGGATGAACCCTGAAAATATCACACTAAGTAGAAGAAACCAGTCACAGAAAGTCCTCATATTATATTATTCCATTCTTATCCAAGTCCTGAACAGGAAACTCCTAGAGATAAAAGGTAGGGGTTGCTTAGGGTTAAGAGAGTGAGTGGTAGAATAAAAGGATGACAGTAAAGGTACAGGGTTTATTTCAAGGTGGTGAAATGTTCTAAAATTGGCTCTGGTAAAGGTTGCACACAGCTGTGAATATACTAAAAACCACTGAGTGGCATACTTAAATTGGGTGAATCATATGATTATAAATTATAATTTTGTAAAGCTTTTTTTTAAAGTTGGAAGTGCAAAACTGAACACACAGAGTTTATACCATGGAAACTAGCAAATGTGACAAATTAGCCCTATCTCTCTCCCACCATGCTGCTGCTAAACACGGACCGGCACACAAGTGCACATGTCCGTCAGCTCAGATGTCTTGTCGCCCCAAATCTGAATTCATAAATGATCATTTGCAAATAAATTAATATATCTGAATTATTTGCAGAGTATTTCCTGGCTCTATTCCACGAATAGTCAACATTGCACAAAAAAAAAGTAATATTAACTGCTAAGGTAAAATGGCATAGCACTTACGAATCAGTGTCCAGTGAAAAGTAATCATACAGCTTAACTATTCTGGGATGGTCCAGTTCTTTGTGAATCCGGTATTCCCTACATGCATGCCTATAAACGAAACAAAATATTAAAAGTTACTATAGACCGCCTTTTTATTTTAGAACTATTTTATTTTAGTTAACTTTATTTATTGATTTATGTATTTTTAAATTTGACCAGAGAGGGACAGAGAAAGAGAAAGAGACAGAGGAAGAGGGAGAGAAAGTGAGAAAGCAAGTGCCAGGTCTGGGACTCAAACCATGGTCAGCCATGTGGGAGTCCAGTGCCTTTAACCACCACACCACCTGCTGGGCCCTATAGATTGCCTTTTAAGGAATCTTCAAAAAATATTCCTAAATATTCTCTCAATTTTCCACTGATTCCACATTCATCCCACTCAGGTCTCTCTGGTCCCCTCATATGATTTTTCTCTTTCCTCATCATATACCCTCCAAGTCATGGAGAAAAGAGCAGGTACTCAAATATTTGTAAAAATAAATGGATGCCAACCTTTTCTCGCTTTCAAGTTTATTCAATACCTCTTTTATATTTATACCTAAATAGTAGAGATTTAAAAACAACAAAGATAAGCTCCTTTCTCCTCTCCTCTAAAGCTAATACTTCCAAAACCTAAATGTTTACATTCTGAGGTTACTTCAAAGGGGTCAGTTTTAGCATGTAAACTTCTTTGGGTTAAAGATTACCTGTCGTATAAGTCAAATGTCAGGGCTTTGTATTTTTTCATCCATTTGGTTTTAAATCTCAATCTTACAAAAAGAATTTAAGGTACTATTAGCTTTATCTATTATAATAAAATATGAAACTGATACAGCTGAAATTATAGAAGTCAATTTTTTTCCTTTTTTTGTGCCATATGGTACATGCACTAGCCAGAGACAAAGAGAAAAAGAAAGTGAGACAGCATCCCCATTGCCCCCACCCCAGGAGATGGTCAAGTTACAATCCCTTCTCCTTTGTCCTCTTGCAATTCTGGGCATGCATGCACATGTGCCTGGCATATTTTTCAAGCCACTGGGGTCAGGACTCAAACCAAGCCGTTGCCTTAATGCCTTAATGTCTACACCATCTGCTGGCCTCATATATTAAATTTTGAAAAAAAAAAATAGAAGAATATATTTATATAATATAATCACCAATAATTTTTAAAGTATTTAGGGACCAGCAATTGGTGTAATGGCTATGTTGCTGGACTCCCATGTAGCTGACTGTGGTTTGAGTCCCGGCCCTGATGGCTTAAACTCATGCTGGGTGCGTGTACGTGCATGCCCAAGATCCCGAGAGGAGAATGGAGGAGAGGGATTGTGGCGTGGCCACCCCCTGGGGGTGATTTCTTGCTTTCTGTCTCTCTTGTCTCGCTCTGTTTTTCCGGAAAGTGCACGAGCTCTATAGCAAAAATCTCTCCAAAAAAATATAAATAAAGTATTTAGTTCTTATTTCCAAAGAGAGAATCCCAAAATTATTATATGTTAAGTATTCTTGCACTTTTTTGTTTGGGATGTTTTGTTATGAGTCGGACAAGAGAAAGTTCCCACAGTGTAGTAAAACAAAACCAAAAAAAAAAAAAAGGTTAATCAATCAGTATACTCCTGTATATAAAAAATTCACAGAAAGTACTCAACTAAAGAAACACTGAATACAAAATTAGGAGAAGAAAGTAGGGAGGAGTAGGAACCTAAAAGTAATGAAATATGTTTTTACCCCAATGAGAACTGATTAGACTTATTTGTCTAATCCAGGAGAAATGAATTCTCTCTCTCTCCAGGAGAAATGAATTCTCTCTCTCTCTCTCTCTCTCTCTCTCTCTGGTGAGCACATGCACCCTATAGCAAACTATACCAAACAAAAATAAAGAAACTGGAAGATACTAAACAGAGGCAAAACTTAAAGTATCATTTAAAGTCCTAGCCAACTAAGAGAGTTTGAGTCCCTCAATTCTGCACCAAGCTCTTAAGTCTCCTTCTCATTACTTTGTCAGCAACGGAGAGGCTCAGCCATGTTTAACGTTCAATTTGGCATTCAAAGAATTAATGTATAAATATAGAGACTGATAAGGAACTGGAAGAGGGACCAGCAGATGGTGTAATGGTTACATCACTGAACTCACACATAGTCAACCACAATTCAAGTCACCCGGAGGCTACACACTCACACCAGGCGCATATGTGTGTGTGCCCAAAGGAGAATGGAAGAGAAGGGATTGCAGCTTGGCCATCCCCCTCGAGGGTGATTTCTCACTTTCTGCTTCTGTCTCTCCAGTGAGTACACATGCTTATAGCAAAAAATCTCTCTTAAAAAAAAAAAAAGGAACTAGAAGAAATTTATCCACTAAACAATCTTTTACTACATTTTAAGTGAATATGTATCAAGACTTGTGCAATATTATAGTTGCATATATAGTATGTATATATACACATATAAGTGTATACACACACACACACACACGTGCGCACGCACACACATTATATATGTGTATATACATAATATACAGAAGGCAAGTGCCTCACCAGAGAGAGAGAGAAGCCCCCTGGTGGGATGTGGCCACAATGCTACACCATTCCCCACTTTCTCTAAAATCCATCAGGATCTCAGATGGATACAAGCAAAAGTGGCCACTGTGCTTTTGAAGACCCCAGGACCAAGATTCAAACTACAGTCAGCCACATGGGATCAGATTCCCAATGCACATCGCTAAACCACTTTGCTTGCTATAGGGCTGCCCCCCCCCACACACACACATACACACATTAAATGTTTTTATTTACTTCTTCCATGACTGAGAGACAGAGAGAGAGAGAGAGAAAGAGGGAAGCACACTGCACCATGGTCCTAAAACCGCCATCTACCCCGAGTCCAGGGCAACCTAGGTCGTGGGCATGTGTGGCCAATATATTCAGGGAGATCTCCAAATAGGAACCCCAAACCCTCCTATGTGGGGTAGTCTCTCAGAGTGTTGGGTTTTGCAGTTTTGCTGCTGCACCACCATCCAGCCCTGAATATAGACTGTGATTTTGAAATTATTTGCTTTTATCTTAGAAAATTAGAAGAGTGCATCATACAGGAGCATACAGACTCAGACACAAAATTTATATACAATTTTTCCTACTGCAGAATTATTTTGAAAAATAATTAATGTTATTATTACTTTTTAAAAATAATTATTTTTTCATTTATTCATTTATTTATTTTTTAATTTAACTAGAGAGAGACAAAGGTGAGAGTGAGAGAGAGAAGAAGTGAGAAAGCAAGCCACCAGATTCAGGACTTGAACCCTGGTCGGCCATGCTGCAATCCTTTCTCCTCCATTCTCCTCTCAGGATCTTGGGCACGCATGCACACACGCCCACAGTTAGTTTAAGCCATTGGGTCCAGGACTTGAACCGCAGTCGACTAAATGGGAGTCCAGCAACATAGTCATTACGCTAACTGCTGGTCCCAATACTGAATTTTTTTAAGCACTTAACAGGCTTTGTTATATGCTTGCTATAAGCCTCCTTTAAGTTGAAAGGAGTTGCCAATTCAGCTATAGCCTTGAAATTCATCAATATGACTTCATAGCACTTAAAATACATAATCTTTCAAGGAAAGGTAGAAGTGCTTAAAAATTTTTCACCAAGCAAGAAAGGAGCCTGGGGGCCTGACAGTGGTACAACAGTGAAACAAAATGTTCTGCAAAGCTGACTCACATGGGAAGGTTCTGGGTTTGCATGAAGAGGCCTCCCTGAGTAAGCTGGATGATCACATGGCCCCTGATCTGGCTGATATTTAAAGTCCTAGCCAACTAAGTGACCAAGACCCTGCTGGGAGGCTGCTTCTCCCCACCCTCTGATCTCTCTCACTTATGAAAGAAATAATGTTTCCACACAGCACTCAGGTGCCATGATTTCTCACTCTGGTAAGAGAACAGAGCAGGCAGGCACCACTGCCACCCTGGAGCTGACACAAGACAATCCCCTTCTCCTGCTCTGCAACTCTGTCTGATAAAGTGAGAGACACTCAGCTTACCCATCAGGGCTCCAGCTGCTTGCCAACTGTGTGTGTGAAGGACAGAGCCCTGGCTTCAAACTCTGTTTCAAAAGGCTAGCTATGGGTCAGACACATGGGCTAGTGGTTAAGGGAGCTGGATCCCGCACGACAATTGAAGTTTCTATCTCAACCCAGCAGGGATGCGAAACACACTGGGCATGTGTGTGTATATATATATTTATATATATGCTCAAAATCCCAACAGGATTGAAGAAGGGATTGAGAAATGGAGAAGGGATTGTGGTATGACCATGCCCCACTTGAAGGGTGCTCTCTCCCTCTCCCTCGCAAGCACCTACTCTGGCAATTAATATATATATAAAAGCTAGGAGAGCCGAATGCCCACCTGCAGTTGTCACAGTATTCCATTTGAGAATTCTCTTTAAGGTCAGACTAAAAGCTCAGTACTGAGATTAGGCAACATATATAAATCCCAGCACAGGAACTATGTTCCCAAGGTTGGTCCCTACTACAGTCATCTGTTGTAGTATGGTCAATGCACTGATAAGATACAGAACAGGCTCCAAGGATAATTGGAGGGCTTTTTTCCCCCCTAATTATTTGGGGCCAGCATGTGGCATAGTGGTTAAAGTGCTGGACTCCCAAATGGTCAACCACAGTTTGGGTCCTGGACCTAGCAGCTTGAAACACACACCAGGTTTGTATGCATGAGTGCCCAAAGTTCCAAAAGGAGAATGGATACTGGCATGGTCATCTCCCTGGGGGTGATTTCTTGCTTTGTCTCTCTGATGAGCATGCATGTCCTAAAGTGAAAATCTCTCAAAAAGAAAAATAAGAAATTAAATTTAATTGTATTTATTATTATTTTTAATGAGAGAGAGAGGGAAAATGAGAAAGCAAGCCACCAGGTCCAAGACTTGAACTACAGTACAGCCACGTGGGAGTCTAGTGCCTTAACCACCATGCTACCTGCCAGCCCCTGGAGGGCATTTTTAAAGATGACCGTGTACTAGCCCAACACCCTGAGGCACTTTAGAGTCTCAACACAACAGAGACATTTCTCACTTAGAAGTGGTCAGAAGAAAACAACATGTGGTTTCCTTCTCTGCAGTACTTCTGGCATTTGGAGTTTGCTGCGTGCCATTCATCGCTCCACGTCAAGTGACTGGAATTCACGTACAATAATGTAACTGCCCCTCAGGAGCATCTGGACTGCAGCTGTCTGTCATGTTAAGATACACATGCAGGGTACCATCTGCAAGCCACTCACCATCCCTCTTTCTACCTCTGCTAAGCCCTACTTCTACCTCTCTAGGGTCGCAAGGACCTTTTCTCCAGCGCAGAGTGCCCCTGCCAACCTATCTGGAATAGGAAGAGTTTCAGAGTCCCTGATGAACAGGTGCCCTGGTTTGGGTCCCAAGAACTAAAGAGATGCTAGATTTTCCTCTTGAGATTGAGAAGCCAACTAAAAGGCTACTTCAAAGTTCACTATTTTTCTTCCTGCACAGTATTTATAAGAAAAAAGTAAGACAACCTATATAAAAAGGAGAATTTCTTTCTATCAAAAGGAGCTTGTCTCCTTTTTCAGGGCAGGACTTGTCTGCGATACCTATACTACCATAAGGAAACAAAACTAAACTTGGCGGGGGACCTAATAGCAAATTAAGTCTGCTTGGCTTCCAAAGCAAACAAGCCAAGGAGCTCAAAGTTCTGAAGCTCCAGGAGTGGGGACGGGATATAGGCAAAACCTGACTTAGCAGAACAAGGCGATCCACAGATGTGCACATAGGAACTTGCATTCAAAAGCAACCACCCTGCCTACGTTCCGCCCCAAGTGCAGATGTGGGCTGCCACTGCTGGCATTCTGAAGAGGGCCAGCACAGGAAGCGGGACCCTGAATACTAGAACTGAGATGGGCAAACTGCAACAGAGCAGGAGAGCTCAGCACTGAGGGGCGAGCAACTGCAACAAAGACCACGGAGGCACACCAGATGTTTCCCACTCCTGTTTCCTCCATGAGGAACTGACTGAAGTAGCAAAAGATCCACAAGTGGCTCCCCCACAGCCCCAAGGTCACTAAAGGCCACTCTCAACTGGTTTTCTCAGACAAGCAGCAATCGGCTTTCATTGTTTATTGTAGCTACTTGCAGACACAATGCAAGGGGACATTAAGAGTTAGGGCTCTGGCTCCAAGAGAGGTCTGGATTTAAATGCCATCTCAGCTACTTTTTCACTGTTAACCCAAATTCTATAGGGATCCGTTTCCTCATCAAAAATTGGGGAATATATTCACTCTCCTAGTGCAGTTAGAAGTTAATAAATAAAACCAACAACAATGCACATAAAGTTCCTAGCATAATGCTCAAACTATAGGTATTATTCAGTTTTGAAAAACCAGACACTTACTTGTGATAATTCTCCTTTTTCTCATCTCTCCAGTTTTTATTTAACTGGTGAATTTTCACAGCTACATATCTTTGCTCTGTTAGGTCAAATGCCTGTAAAGAAAAGGGAAAAATTATATTCTGAATAAATGCTAACAAGAATTATAGGCAACTGACTTGAAACTTCTACTTAACAGATCAACATAATCCAAGTTCAAAATATATTATTAAATAAAAACAGCAGCAAATGACAACACATCACATACTTGTTTCAGTGTTGCAACCATCTTCTTGAAACTTGTGATTAGATAATTTAGAAGTCTCCAGACACACTGGCACCAAGGGGTTTAGGACACAAAACCGAGGACACACCACAAACACCAGGCAGCCCAGGCCTTAACAGTTACTTCCCAACAATCCTGTCTAGATACCATCTATTTGCATTTGGGATCTTCCCCCGAGGTTGTCTCTTGTCTCTCAGCTGACACTGGGACTTCACACCATCGACAGGTAAGTACTGCCACTTCATTCATTTACTTATTTATTTATTTTTAAGATTTTTGCCAGAGGGCATGTATGCTCAACAAGAGAGACAGAGACAGAGAGAGGGAAAGTGGGAAATCACCCCTCAGGAGAATGACCATGCTGTAATCCCTTCTCCTCCAGGATTTTGGGCATGCACACACATGCATGAGTTTCAAATCTCTGGATCTACGACTTGAACATAGCTGGCCATATGGGAGTCCAGCACCTTAACCACCATACCGCTTGCTGGCCGCAGCACTTTAACCACCACACCACCTGTTAGCCCTAAGTACTGCCACTTTTTAAATGCTAGGGACACACTGCATGCGTCCTGCAGAAAAGAACCTCTCAGGATACACCTCTTTAATATGACTGTTTACAACAGAACCTGTAATTTGTATATTATGTTTATTAAAATAAAAACAGAAACAAAATATAGCCCTGCCTTTGCTGCCACCTCTACAAGACAAATAAATGACAAGCCGTTTTGTGGACCAGGAGATAGTGTAATGGTTACATTGCTGGACTCCCACGTAGTCAATCATTATTTGAGTTCTGGACCCAGCAGCTTAACACTCGTGACGAGTATGTGTGCGTGTGTGCCCAAGATCCAAGAGGAGACTGGAGGAGAAGGGACTGTGGCATGGCCATCCCCCTGGCAACTGATTTCTCGCTTTCTGTCTACCTGTCTCTGTCTCTGTCTCTCCAGCGAGTGCCATGTGCCCTAGAACAAAAATCTCTCTAAAAGAATTTAAAAAAAAAAAAAAAAAGACAAGCAGTTTCTAATCCTAACAACTCCAAAGTCAGTTAAACCAAGTCACTTCTTCAGTAAAATCCAGAGAAAGGGGCTGGATTTCCCTGAAAGCAACTCTGCTGGCAAGTCCTGGGTCAGCTAGGATGATGTGGAAAAGTAAGATCAAGAGTTTTGAGGAAGGTGGCTGTCAATCTCAACTGGATGAAGTAAAATTTAAATTCATAGATTTCCCCTACATAAAAACAACACACTGTAGAAGCCCTCTGCACAAATAGTTTCTATCAGTTGTGGAATTCAGGTGAAAAGCCGACTACTCTAGTCCCGACGCCGCGCCACCCGCTGCGGCTCCACTACGCGCGCAGTCCAGGCAGCACGTGTAGGACGGGCCCATGCACAGTGGCGACTGCTGTCTTGCAGAGCGTTTCCAGGAAGCTTTCCAGGTAAGCACTGTGTGTCAGAGGGCTGCTCGTGAAACAGTACCTTTCACCTATGCTAAATTAAAACCAGATGTTTCAAAGTATACGAACTACTCAATTCAGACACAATACAACATAATACTTTATTTCACAGAAATGAAAACTTCTGAACCCATTTTCTTACAGAGTCTGAAGCCTACCTGTAAGCAGGTACACTATCATGGCTTCACAGAAGAAAATCATTTCAAGCCACTAAAGACCAGATTAAACACCACCCAACCATGACTCAAATGTCATTTTCTCTAACTACCACACTATGTCTTGTGCCTTCAAGCCACCATGATCCACCACTCGTTTAAGAAGGGCTTTTGGAGAGTGCAAAACAGCAAACGAGTAACATCAAGTATAAATACCACTGTACAAAGCACCTAGGTTTCAGAAATATTAGACATTAGGCTGATGAAATCACTAAGGTAACTGGAAAGCACCAAGAGTCTCTTTTGATCATTTACCTTTTTTTTTTTTTTTTTGCCTTAGGACACCTGCACTAGCCAGAGAGAGAAACAGAGATAGTGAGAGGAAAGTGAGAAATCACCCCGTGGGAGGATGGCCACGCCACAATCTCTTCTCTTCCATTCTCCTGGGATCCTGGGCATGCACACCCATACACCTGGTAAGAGTTTCAAGCCATCAAGTCCGGGGCTCGAACCACAATCAATGATATGGGAGTCCAGCAACATAACCACTATGCCATGTGCTGGTCCCAAAGAGAAGTTTTTATACTTGATCATTTTCTAAAAAGAAATAGTCAGGGGGACCAGCAGGTGGTGTGGTAGTTAAGGTGCTGGACATTCCCACATGGCCAACTATGGTTCGAATCCCAGACCTGGTGGCTTGCTTTCTCTCTCTCTCTCTCTTTCTCTCTGTGTGTGTGTGTGTGTGTGTGTGTGTGTATGTGTGTGTGTGTGTCTGGTCAAATTAAAATGAATTAATGAATAAATGAAATTAAATAAATAATTCTTTAAAAAATTAAATAAATGAATGAATGAATAAAATCAAGTAAATAATTCTTAAAAAAAAAAAAAAAAGAAAAGAAAAAGGAACAGTCAGGACCAGCAGATAATGTAGAGGTATGTCATTGGACTCCGACATGGCTGACCGTGGTCTGAGTCTCCAATGTGGTGGCTTGAAAATCATGCCAAGTGGGATCAGCAGTTAGGTTAATGGCTGTGTCACCGAACTCCCATGTAGTTGACCGCGGTTCAAGTCCCAGATCCGGTGGCTTAAACTCAAGCCGGGTGCATGTGCATGCGTGCCCAAGATCCTGAGAGGAGAATGGAGGAGAAGGGATTGTGGCGTGGCCATCCCCCCAGGGGGTGATTTCTCTCTTTCTGTCTCTCTGTCTCTTTCTGTCTTTTTGGTGAGCACACTCGCCCTATAGCAAAAACTTCTCCAAAGGAAAAAAAAAAAAAAGAAAGAAAAAAGAAAAAAAGAAAATCATGCCAAGTAGGTGTATACACAAGATCCTGGGAAGGGAATGAAGGAGAAGGGATTGAGAGGTGGCCATTCCTTCAGGGGATGATTTCTCACTCTCCCTCCCTCTCATTGTGTCTGTGTATGCCCTAAGGCAAAATTCTCTAAAAATAAATAATAAAATAAGGAATAGTCCCATCTATTGAGTAAAATAAGTAGTTTTCTTTCAGAGAAAAATAGTAAAAACTACTTCTATTTCTTCCTCCTTTTTTTTTTTTAAAGAATTATCTTATTTTCGGACCAGCAGGTGGCATGGTGGTAAAGGTACTGGACACTCCAACATGGCTGATCATGGTTCAAGTCCTGGACCTGGTAGCTTGCTTTCTCACTTCTCTCTCTCTGATCAAATTAAAATAAATGAATAAATAAATAAAATAAAAAATTAAAATAAAGTTAAATAATTCTCTTTTTTAAAAAAGAATTATCTTATTTTGAGGCCGGCACGTGGCATAGTGGTTAAGGGCACTGGATTCCCACATGGCCGACTACAGTTTGAGTCCCAGACCTGGTAGCTTGCTTTCTCAGTTCCCCTCCCTCTCTTCTTTTCTCCCTCTCTCTCTCTCTCTCAATCTCACACTCTCTCACTCTGTCCCTCTCTGGTCAAATTAAAAGTATATAAATAAAGTTAAAATAATTCTTTTAAGAAATATTTAAAAAAATAATTATCTTAGTTTAACAATTTTTTTTTTTTTGTCATAGGGTATGTGCGCTCGCCAGGTAGACAGAGAGAGACAGAGAGACAGAAAGTGAGAAATCACCCCCCAGGGGGGATGGCCACACCGCAATCCCTTCTCCTCCATTCTCCTCTTAGGATCTTGGGCACGCATGCACATGCACCCGGCGTGAGTTCAAGCCACCGGGTCCAGGACTCAAATCGCAGTCAACCACATGGGAGTCCAGTGACATAGCCATTACGCTAACTGCTGGTCCTTCAAATATATAACTTTTGACACTAATATTTTATTAAAAAAAAAAAAAAAAGAGAGAGAGAGAGAGACTAAAGGTGACTCAGTTGTGACTAGCAAATGTAGATGAAGGCAGAACTACAGAATCAGAATAAAAATCACTATAAATCTTTTTTAAAGAATTATTTTATTTAACTTCATTTATTATTACTTTTTTAACATGACCAGAGAGACAGACAGAGAGAGAGAGGGGGAAAGTGAGAAAGTAAGCTGCTAGGTCCGGGATTCAAACCATGGTCAGCTATGTGGGAGTCCAGTGCCTTTAACCACCACACCACCTGCCAGTCCCCAAAAATTACTGTAATTCAACTACCCAAAAATGAATATTACTTCTCCTTCTGGTTATTCTTTTCTATAATTATTTACGTATTAACTTGAAAATGGGTCCACATCCTAGTTAGTTCCTTAAGTTTACCAGGAGCAGATTTCCCAAAGACATAAGAGTTTTTAAATTAAACTAACAGATACCATCTCACGGTTATCGCTATTCTAAATTATTCTCCAAGTTGGTAATGGCCAATAATTTTTCCCCCAGTTCTTTGTACCCATTTCCTTGTACTTACCTTGTAAACTTCACTGAAACCTCCTCTACCCAAAAGATGTAACAACAAATATCTGTCATTTAGCGTTGGATGATCTTTAAATCTGTAGGAAGAGGGAATATGTACATCTTGATGTCAAGAACCACAGTCTTCCATATTTGCAAAATTCTCAGAAGCACAGATTGGACACATAATCACAGCTGCTTCTAATAATGTGGCAGTCAACACCGACACAGCAAAGACTCAGCATAAAGTCCCACAGTTCGATGAGGCAGCACAGCTACAATCAACAGCCATGGGTGCAGAGCTTGGAGATGAAGGGTAACTGTCGTGCAGCTACAGAGACCTGTCTCCTTTCTCAACCTCCCTCCCTCCTGCCTTGCCATTCCTCAAGTGAGAAGCGGAAAGGTAAGACCAAGTCAGGGGTTTACAAGCTGCTCTCAGGCCCCCCCAAGCCATTTGAGAGCCATGTGCTCCAACTATTTCACGTATGCACAATGCATACAATACAATTCCAAGATATTTTACAGGGTCTTAAAAATGGATTTGATCATGTACTGAGTCACATGTTCTATGTGCATTCACTGTCTTCTCTCTAAGCTACAAAGTCTATGATACGACTATGTTCTCCATGTGAGCTTGTACCTTATATTGTTTTCTGACATTTCAATACATAGAAATGACAAATTTTGGCAAAAATAAACTTTAAAATATTTTACCAAATTCCTGATTTTAAACAGCCTTATTATTAATACTGAAATTATTTTGATCTTAAGAAAACAACACGCCTGTAGGAGAGAAATCAACGTATGGTGGTTTAGATCAGAAAGATCGAAGTGTGACTCTTTGGTCACTAGTTAGGGGTTACTGGTCGAGTTAACATAATTGCTCTAAGCTATTTCTTGATTGATGTATTGAGGGTGCTTGGTTTATTGTGAAGAGTAAATGAGACCACCCTCAGGAAACGGTAATTCCTGTTGCCTGCCACTTTACGGAAAGAAAAGTCCACGGCTCACATTGGCCAAATGAAAATATGTAAGGTGGAAATTTGGGAAAAAACATTTCACAGTCAGAAAATGTGAGAAAAAAAGAGATGATTGATAAAAGTCCTTTCCCACTTGCACTTTACCTTCCCCCAGTTTCAATTCCATAAATGACTTACAGTCAAAAATGTGCTAAACTTAAGAGTCGCGCTTAAATTCTCACTACCAAATGGCTCTTTTCCTTTTCTTTTTTTGCCAGAGAGCACATGTGCTCACCAGAAAGAGAGAAAGCAAGCACCCTTCAGTGGGGCATGGTCATGCCACAGTCCTTTTCCCTCCATTTCTCTATCCCATCAGGATTCTGGGTGGTGTGCACGTGCCGGTGGTCTGCTCAGGTTGCTGGGCTGGCATCTGCACTGTAGGTGGCCATGTGGGACTCAGCTCCCCACACACAGCACTTAACCACTACCCTGAAGAGCTGGCCCCCAGATGGCTCTTCAGGGTCATTCCCAGACCAAGTGCCACCGCAGCCCAATAGTCTCTCCACACACAACACTGTGAGCCAGGCTTCTCTTTCTTTAGGCTCTGTAGATAAATCTGAATATACAGTGTGTAACCCAACCATTCAAGACTGTAAAGCTATATTGTTTTAGTGACCTCTATTCATCTAAAAATGCCATTTTTGAAATCCATGCAGTTTTTTTCATAACACAGATTTCCATGAGCTTTCCAAAAGTCCTTCTTATATGTATAATATACGCATTTAACAGATAAACTTAGATTCATATATGTTTAAACCAAAACAAATTGACTTTGTCATAAAACTGTGTTATATTTATAAAAGAGCTAAATATACTGTGGAATCATTTATAAACTTATAATACTTAAATTTATGTTAAACAAAATATCATACCAGACCATTTCATTTAAGTCAAAAATAATTCACAATCCCCACCTAATGTACCCGCAAGATGCTTACTGTGAATTATCTTCATTATGTATCCTTTTTAGTTCCCTGATATGTAGATTTCTAACCCTTTCTAGCCTTTCCAGCTCTGCCTGGATCTCTGCTTCTTCCTAAAGTGAAAAAGAAAGAGCGAGCTCAAAATACAAAGGAATTTTACCTTTTTAGTCTTATTTTTAGAACACCAGATATTTTTCTTGTGCAGGACTAGTATACTTTAGAAGAAAAGATTTCTTTTTAAGAACTATAATTTTAATTATTAAAATAAGCAGATAGCAATTAATAAATGAAATTCAAGCCATACAGAGGGGTACAGTGGGAAGAGTTCAAGTCCTCTTTATCACTCTCCTCTCCACGCTCACTCCATTCAGTGTTTAAGTGTCTTGTATAAGTTTTCAGACTGTTTAATGCATATAAAAGTAAACATGAAAACCTTTTTTTTTTTTAAAATAAAAATCAGGTTTCTATCAGGCTCTCTTCCTAAGTATGGAATTTTAAACTTGGTGCCTTAAGTGATGTATTTGAATTAAAACACATGCCAATAGCAGTATTTATTTGTTTTAGTGCTAGAGAGCCCGTGTGCATCCCAGAGAAAGAAAGAGGGCAAGGGGAAAGCAACCTCCATGGGAATGGTTATGCCACAAGCCCTTTATCTCCATCTCTCTTTCTTTTCGGGATTTTGGGCACACATGCTCACAGCTCTTGCGTATTTCACACTGCCAGGTCCAGGACTCGATCTGCACAGTCAGTTGTGTGGCATCCAGCTACCTTCACCACCAGGTCACAGAGCTGGCCCCAACAGCAGTTTATTAAAAAGCTATTGACCACCATTACAACATTGACAAATGACACATGGAATATCGAATTTAAGAGCTGAACAACCTACACCTAACACAGCTCGGTGAACCTCACCCATGACATATTCTATGTCTAGGTCCCTTTATCTTAGAATACTGTTGAGATGAAACATCTTCTTAGCTAGAGCAACTCTGTGTTTTAAGATCTCGCAAGAACTTTAGCATCACTTTGAGATCATCTGCTCATTTTGTTAGTGTTTCTCTGATAGGGCCTCACTATGCTGCCACTCTCCTGCGTAGCTGGGACTATAGGTGGGCACCACTGCACCTAGCTTTGTTGTACATTTCATCTTTATTCTAAGAATGACCACTTGGAAACTTCCTGATGTACAGAGAATTATCTGCTGATAAATTATTAAAGGAAAAAGTACTCTCATGCAGTCACTGGAACAGACTCAAAAATGGAAAAGTTCCAAGAAGACAACCAGATGTAACAGTCAGTAGCTACTCAAAGTTTTGTAACTAAGAAAAATGACTACTACATTTGCCTGAATGACCAAATTTGCTTCAACAACAAATGGAAACTAGAAACTGTATTCCTCCAGATAGAGTTTTCTAACTATACTCACCTTTTTAAGATGACCTAATCTGAGTTTGAAGATTTCTTCTTGCTCATGGTATTCTGCTAATGTTAATCTGAAAAATAATGGTAGAAAATTCAGTAACTGAATTCACAGAGCGACCATATAAAGAGAAATGCCCAAGTGTGCAAGAAGGTATACTCAGTCTGCAGTGAACATGACGTGGCCTGCCCAGTGGTGTGTTGGCTAAAGCAGCTGGATCCCATGTGGCCGTCTGCAAGGTCTGAGTCACAGACCTAGTAACCTGAATAACACACCTGGTGTATATATGTGCATTCCCCAAATCTTAAGAGAATGGAGGAGAGGGGATTGCAGAGTGGCCATCCCTCCCAGGGGGGTACATTCTCACTTTCCTTCTGTCTCTGGCAAGTACATGTGCTATATGGCAAATTTTTTTAAAAAAAAAGAAAAGAAAATGAATAAAAGATAGGTTATCTTGCAGTGCCCTGACATGAGAAAATTTCTGTGATTTACCAGATGTGTTATAAAGGAAGGACTTGTAAGCCAGAAGTCTAATTTGTAAAATAATGAGAAAAATAAATGAGCCTTATTATTATTTATTTTTTGCAGAGGTTTTTTTCTATAGGGCACATGCGCTTGCCAGAAAGACAGAGAGAGAGAAAGTGAGAAATCACCTTCGGGGCGGATGGGCACGCCGCAATCCCTTCAACCTTCATTGTTCTCTTGGGATCTTGGGCACGCAGGCACACATGCCCGGCATGAGTTTAAGCCACTGGGTCTGGGGCTCAAACCACAGTTGACTACATAAGTCCAGCAACATAGCCATTACGCCAACTGCTGGTCCCAAATGAGCCTTATTCTTACATTCTTTGTGAAATGAGTTTTTTCCCCATTACTCATATGAAAACCACCAGGAGAGGGAGCCGTAAGTTGTATGTCTAAAAAAAATTTTGGTGTAGTGATTACATCACTGAACTCCCACATGGACAACAATAGTCCAAGTCTCAGACCCAGTGGCTTGAAACTCACTCTGTGTGCATGTGCCTGCATGCCCAAGATCCTGGGAGAACTGAGGAGAGGGCATCTCAGTGTGGTGACACCTCTTGGAGGGACGATTTCTCACTTTCTGTCTCTCTGTCTCTTTGGCAAGCACACATGCCCTGTAGCAAAAATCTCTCTCAATAAAAAGTGGGGAGGGGCCTGACTTGATTACTCATCACTTGCTCTATGTTCCGCTGACTCCAGCTGCATTCTTAAAAATGGGCAAGTAGAAAATGATATCTGACTCCTCCATCTCTATCTTCTTGCAGGGAGCACCTTAAAGTAGATACAGTCTTTGTGCTATTACTGCAGGGCATGTGAAAGCTCTAAACAAAGACATAATCTACTGCTGGGCTTTACAGAGAGAATGAAATCTAGAGTTAGCCAGAGAAGGCAAGAAGAGGCTTGTTTTAGAACTGTGAGATGCTCCACAGCTGAAGCATGGGGCTTTGCCTTCCCTATAAAAGAATGACCGACCACAGGGCCATCACGTTCTACTGGGTCCATCTAAACCCCCACTTTTATGTGTCTGTCCTTTCTCAGTCCACAGCCCTTCCCCTTGGGGTACCCTTCCTCTTTGCCCTTGGGCAGGGACACCTTCTTCAGTTCTAGACACACACATTTCAAAGTTTTTGATCCCACTGTTGGGTATATTCTAAGTACTAGGAGAAAAAGGAAACAGCATTCATATCAACCAGAAATGGCTAAAAAATAAAGCTTTTGAGGGTTAAGTCAAAGAAAATAGGGTAAGAAGAAAGACATCCACCAGAGCTGAGACACTCATCTCTTCCCGGGTGCAGAAATACCTGTATCTATATTCCCTCTTACACCATTAAAAAAAGAGAAATAAGAAGTCCTAGTCAATAATTCTCTCTGCCTCAAATAGGTTCAATACCAGCAAAGGATAATGTGACTCACTCCAACACTCCAGAGGCCTGTTTTGGCTTCTGGTCAAAAGCAAGAGCCAAATCACAGACACTCTAATTAACAACTGGACTGAAAACTATCCAGCTTGGATTGCTCACAGGACTCCAGATGGCCAGTGCTTACAGACACACTGCTCACCTAGACGGAATTCTAATTATTGTTCAGTGGCAAAGAAACAACCTATGCCTTCTTCACTCTTAAGCCAATGGCTTTGTACAATAAGCATGACAAAAGGAAATAAGAGTCAAATATATTTGCCTCAAGGATCATTCAAATTTGGGCTCCTACTTGGACTTTTTGAAAGAAATCATTTATATTTAAACTCTAGTCAAGTTACATGAAGTTTTAAGAATGAAGACCTTTTCAAGCTTAGTTCACTATGTATACTTTTATTACTATGCTTGATATAATTAGTTTATTCATCCATTCATCTTTTGCAAATAAACCGTGAGCTCCTAAGGCTAGGCCTGTATCCCAGAACAGGGGCTGGCATGAAGTAAGCATTTAACATAACATTGAGAAAAAGACTTCCCAATGCATCAGGTGTGTAGGAGGCAGGACTGAGATTAAGCCATCTGTCTCACTAGAATGAAGGAAGATGAATTTCTGGGATGTCATGGACTTCTAATAACTGTATAATACAAGAATTACTACACTTGAAGTGAATTATGGAATAGTATGCTTCTGAGAACTGGTACACAAACCAAAAAAAGGAAGAAAGAAAGAAGCATGGCAACCATGGCAGGTCCTCAAGTTACAGAATATACGTTTTGTTTGTGGCTATCTTTAGACCTGAAACTTCCTTTCAACTAAAGAGCAAGGAATAAAGGAATGGAACAGGCGGGCATCAGAGCCCAGGATTTTCTACCCTTCCTATTCAAGGTCTGTGCAACAACTATGGACTGACAGAGAAGAGACTGCATTGTAAGTTAAGATATTGGGGTTTTCCTTAGGTTTCCAGAACAGTAAAGAACTTCTGGTAAGGTCAAGATTTGGCTTAATATGAAAATGTCCCTTTCCTACATAACAGCTACTTTTTTCTTGGCTGACTCCTACAGTGCGTGACCATTAGCCAAGTATTCTTTCCACCAATTAAGAACACTCTTCAATCTGAAATGGGAGCCAGATGATCCCCTCAGATAATGTAGATGCACCGTAACCTCCAGCCACATATAAGTAATGGTATCACCCAAATACACTAATTCTGTAGTTGCTACAAGAGTGATCAAAATTCATGTCATGTTAACTGATATTACTTCTCCCTCTTGTTCAAAACCCCTAAATAAAGGGCAGGACTATGAGGACCCATTAATGCTATATGACTTTCATACCAGTTGAGCAATTCATTAATGTAACTCAAAAGAAAGCTTAAACAAAAGGGAGTTCCGTCATTGACAGTAGTTTCCAGAGGTACTCAGCAGGACATCCGTATTAGAAGGGTGTGTGGCATCGCATGTGCCTACCAACAAGGAACGTACGTTTCATTTTCAGCTCCATTGGTCTTGCTTTTCCGCTGCTTCTGCTCATTGGTGGCTGGAGGGGCCTGACCCATGGCAGGTGGTTTCCGCTTTGCTAACATTTTCCGTTGTCTTTCTATCTCTTCCCTCTGTGAATTTATTCTTTCTTGTTGCCTAGAGAAGAAGACAGTCAAAAGTCATCTTAATACAATTACAAATAAACATGAATAACTCATTACCTGCATGTTTCATAAACTTCAAAGAAAATAAGGTCTCTCAAATCAAACAGATCTGATTTTTAAAGTCTCTGACTTAAGACACTAATTATGATAATCTTCAGAGTGGGAAAGTACGCTGGAGGGAACATAAAAAAATTTCTATTATGACCTTATTTTCAGATTCAAAAGAAATAGTTTTTATTCCCTTTCAACAGTTAATAAACAAGAGCCCATTAAAAGTAAAGATCTTTTAAGTAAGAAAAAAGTATACAAGGGCCAGCAGGTGGCATGGTGGTTAGGGTGGCTGGATCCCACAAGACTGGGTGGTTCGTATCCCTAAGCCAGTGGGCATGAAAACACGCAACCATGTGTGCCCAAAATCCTGAGAGAAGAATGGAGAAGAGACTGCAGCATGGGCATCTCCTCATGGGGTGCTTTCTCACTTCCCACCACTCTCTCCAGAGAGCACATGCGTCCTACTGCAAACTATACAATAGTAATAATAATTAACTAATTTAAAAGAATAGAGAAAAAAGGTATACAAGGTTTCAAATGCCTTTTTTTTGTTTAGATTAAAGCTTCCTCAAATTGTTTCCAAAAAGATATCAAGTTTATAGGATACTAAGCAAAATAAGAAATAATAAATCTATTATTTATTGCAGTCTAAGTGAGTCATTATCACCCCATAAAGTCATCTCCACTAATATGGTAACACCTAAACTAAGTTTGTTTTTTTATTATTTTTTTTAACACACAAATACAGGGACCAACACATGGCATAATGGTTACATTGCTGGACTCCCATATAGTTGACTGCAGTTCGAGTTCCAGACCTGGCGGCTTAAAACTCACACCAGGCATGTGTGTGTGCATGCCCAAGTCCCAAGAAGAAAAGGGACCATGAGAAGTGATTTCTTGCTTTCTGTCTCTCTGTCTCTGTCTCTCCAGTGAGCACACACAAATCTCTCTAAAAAACAAAAGTTATAGAAAATAATTTTTTAATTAAAAAAAAAAAAAATACGGGGAGACCAACAGATGGTGTAGCGGTTACATTGGTGGACTCCCACATGGCCGACTACAGTTTGAGTCCCGGACCCGGTGGCTTGAGAATCATGCTGGGTAAGTGTGCATGTGTGCCCAAGATCCCAGGAGGAGAGTGGAGAAGTGACTTCTGCGTGGCCATACTCCCTCATTTTCCCTCTCACTGTGTCTGTCTCTTTCTCTCTCTCTGTACAAATTTTCCAGAACCAGGCCCAGCAGATGGTATAATTGTTATGTCACTGGACTCCCATGTAGTAGACGGTGGTTCAAGTCCTAGACCTGGCAGCTTAAAACTCAAGCCGGGTGCCATGTGTGTGCCTGCCCAAAATCCTGAGAGGCGAAAGGAGTATGGCATAGCCAACTCCCTGGGGGGTAATTTCTTCTATCTCTCTGTCTCTCCATTGAGCACACATGCCCTATAGCAAAAACCCCAATCAATCAATCAACAGATAGACTTCTAGAACCTTATGGGCATTATGCCATTTATAGAGTACAAAGAAAAAATCCTGCTACCATCTGCAAAAACTTTAAGCACTTAAAATTAATTACACTCTCCATCTCTATACAGACTTACTATCTTTTTGAGTAAAAGTCTAAAGAGACTGTGATCCCACAAGTAACCACTGTCAATGGCAAGAAGGAGCCACAATCAAGTCAATTGTGAGTCTGAGCATTTGATGGTTTTGGCCACTAGTGGGGATATGATATTTTATCTTCTTGATCCATTCTGACCAATCTGGAAGCACGATGGTATGTCACTTCCAGAGCAATCTGCACACTGTGGTCAGTGTCATGGAATGGGTATACACTGCTGAGTAAATGTAAGCACAGTGCTCTGGTGCAATTCTGTAACCACCAGACCCTGAGCTTACAGCTCAGAGTCCACGCTGCTCAGAACCTCTGGCCTAATTCAGAAGTCTATGATTTGCTTCCAGGATTTTTACACTAAAATATAGATATTTGAGGTACCAGTTGTAAAGCAAAAACATGTCTGAACTAAGTTGGAGGTTCATTCTTCATATATAAAACAAGGACTACTAATGTGTAATCTAGAGGTCAGTTTTAACAAAGTATTTTACATAGCATCGGTATTTGTACCTTTCTTTTGTACATATATTTGTTATTTATGTTTATTACCCAAAGTGTCCTATGTTCTTCAAATCATACTGATACTATTACTATAGGGAAAATAGGCAGGAAAGGCATCTGTAAACCTCCTAACTCATCCTGCTCTGGAAATGAAAAGTTTGAGAGCCCACAATGAAAAATACAGTGCTTTCATCCCACCTCCAGTCTCAAATGGAAATGACCTGACAAATCAAAATAAGTAAGATACATCAAAAGGTACCATAACCCAGGGAACCAGCAGTTAGCGTAATGGCTATGTCGCTGGACTCCCATGTAGTCGACCGCGGTTCGTGTCCCGGACCCGGTGGCTTAAAACTCACGCCGGGCGCGTGTGCATGCGTGCCCAAGATCCCGAGAGGAGAATGGAGGAGAAGGGATTGCGGCGTGACCATCCCCCCCGGGGGGTGATTTCTCGCTTTCTGTCTCTATGTCTCTCTCTGTCTGTCTGGTGAGCGCATGCGCCCTACAGTGAAAAATCTCTCCAAAAAAAAAAAAGGTACTACAACCTGAAGATACTTTTCATTTTAAATCATAAACTACTAGTAACTATTCACATAGTTGAAATTTTAGATTTTACATTTTAATTCCCTTCTTGGAGTACACACAATAGTTCTAATAAACTGAAAGAGTATTCAAGACTACAAGTTGCAGACTGGCACAGTGGGACTGGTCACCAGCCTGACCTCTCGCTCAGCAGCTCCTCACTTCAAAGAAGTGATCTTGATGCCTGGACACTGTCTCTAAAGATGCGTAGGGACATTTCCTAAAAGGTTTTTATATGGGTTTTATTTTGCATTATACAGTTTGAGTATCCCTTGTCTGAACTGCTTGGGACAAAAACTATTTCAAATTTAAGATTTTCTATAATTTCGGAATATCTGCACATAAAAAATGAGGTATCTGTATCTTGGGGATGGGACTCAAGTCTAAACCTGAAATTCATGTATGTCTTACTTATGCCTAATACAACATTATACAATGCTTTTATACTGCCACATTTTGACTATGACCTGTCACATGAGGTCAGGTGTAGAATGTTCCACTTGCTGCATCATGTCAGGGCTCAAAAAGTTTCAAATTCTGGGGACCGGCAAGTGATGTGGTGGTTAAGGTGCTAGACACTCCCACATGGCCGACCATGGTGCGAGTCCTGGACCTGGTGGCTTGCTTTATCACTTTCCTCTCTCCCTCTCTCACTCTCTCTGGTCAAATTAAAATAAACAAATGAATGAATAAATGAAATTGAATAAAATAATTAAGAAAAAAATTAAACTAAATGTTAAAAAAGAAATGTTTCAAATTCTGAAACATTTCAGATTTCAGCAACCTATACCTAACTCATGAAATTCTTCCTTTGGACCTTTCCTAGTCCATTTTTCCACGGCCCCAGAATATTCAACATATACTCATAAAAATTCATTACCTAATTAAAAATGTAACAAGTCAAACCCTAGATTTTTCCTTAGCTTTAGTGATTCTAATTCATTTAAGCTTTAACATTTAGCTCTTTTTTTGCCAAAGGGAGCAAGCACTCACCAGAGAGGGAGAAAGCACCCACCAATGGGGCACGGTCATGCCCCAGCTCCTTCTCTTTCATTTCTCCATCCTGTTAGGATTTGGGGTACTCTCACACATATGCCTGGCTGAGATTTTTTAAAGCCACTAGGGTGGGATCTAAGCACGGTTGGCCATGTGGGAATTGCATTACCATGAGACTATGTAGGATCAGCTCTAGAATTCATTTTTTATTCTTCTGATTATTTGTGTCATCTTTTTAAAACTTCATTTCATTTCTTATCTCTTTACATATCTTGTGATTAAAACAATGAAAAGATGACTACCATGACTAGGATTACTGATAACAATAATAGATAAATTAAAAGATGCAAACCAAATTCTCCATTTCATCATGAAAGTTCACTTACTTGATAAGGTTCTGGAAAGCATAACCATCCGTCCACTGTTCGGTAAAAGAGGCCCCGTGCCGGACAGTAGTAAAGTGGCCCAATCTCAAGCGGTCTTGCATGCTCTTATCTCTACATGCCATCTTCTCTTGCTTTGACTTAGCGAGAAAGGACAGAAAAAGGAATTTAACACCAATTTTAGAAACTCAAAACTTTATGAAAAGGGAAAATACTATTAAAAAGCCATGCACCATCTCAGAATAGTCAACCTCGTTCAAACATGCTTTAGATGGAACACCATTCTTGTTCAAACAAAGACAAAAAGGACAATGAAAGAATGGAAATATTTTTCCTGATAAAACTTCAATCTGCCTCTTTTTTTTTTCATTTTCAAGTTCAGCATCTCATATTTGGACCACATCAATGCCACACTCCTAAACTGTTTGCCTATTTTATATTTCTTCTCCATCCAAGCTATCCTAGAGAACTGCTGCCAATTCATGTTCTCAAAACACCGCTATGTGGACTTCTGGTTTCATACTCAAAACCTTCCACGGCTCTTTGCTGCCAAACACTGGATCCTGACATGAGAAAGCCCTCCACAGGCTGGAAGAATACATCCATCTCCAGGGATCAGCAGTTAGCCTAATGGCTATGTTGCTGAACTCCCATGCAGTCGACTGCGGTTCGAGTCCCAGACCTGGTGGCTTAAACTCACACAGGGTGCGTGTGCCTGCGTGCCCAAGATCCAGAGAGGAAAATGGAGGAGAAGGGATTACAACTGTGTTGAGTATATTTATATACATATATATATATATATATATATATAAATCCATCTTGTAATAGAATTCTTAGCAGGAGAGACATCATCTACCCTTGATTCTTGAGGGCATCACTCACTCAACTTATATTTACTAAAAACCAGTTACATATCAGGGACCATATGAGTGCTAAGTATAGAAAATGGAAAGAAACTGGTGTTTATGACTACAGGGGGACATAACCAGTAAATACGGCTGGTTTGTGTTTTTAGGTAGAAATTATGATTAAAAAAAAAAAGATTGAAGGAGGGGGCCAAATGGTGACCACGGTAAAACAAAGTACCCTGTGAAAATAACCCACATGATAAGTTTCTGTAATTACATCCAGAGACCTCCCTGGGTATATTAGGTGTGCGCGGGCCCATGATTTGGACTGGCTGGAGATAAAATAAATCATTTATTTCCCAGGGGAGATGGCCAAACTACAATCCCTTCTCCTCCATGCTCTCCCAGGGATTTTGGGCATGCACATATACAACAGGAGTATTTTCTAAGCCTCCAGGTCCAGGACTCAAACCATGCACTCAGCCACTAAGGATCCAAGACACCTTAGCCACCATGCCACTCCAATTAAAAATATTTTGAGGGGGGAATAGCAGTTGGCATAATGGCTATGTCATTGGATTCCCATGCAGTCAACCATGGTTCGAGTCTCACACACAGTGGCTTAAACTCATGCTGGGCGTGTGTGCACGCATGCCCAAGATCTCAAAAGGAGAATAGAGGAGAAAGGACTGCAGCGTGGTCATCTTCCATGGGGGTGATTTCTCGCTTTCTGTCTCTCTGGTGAGCGCACACACCCTATAGGAGAAAACTTCTCCAAATATTAAAGGGGGGGGCACCAGAGGATGATGTAATGTTTACGTTGTTGGGCTCTCACATGGCCAACCACAATTCAAGTCCCAGACCTGGAGACTTGAAACTCACATCAGGTGCGTGAGCGTGCATGCCCAAAATTCTGAGAGGGAAATGGAGAAGGGACTGTGGTATGGAAATCTCTCCTGGGGTGTGATTTCTCACTTTCTATCTCTCTGTCTCTCCAGCAAGTAACACGCCCAATAGTAAAAATCTCTGTTCAATGAAATTGTTTCAGAAGAAAAAGAAAAAGGCACCATGAGAGATAATACTGCGGGAGGATATATTTACTTGAGACGTCTAGTGTAGTTTGGGTTTTTTTTTGCCCTAGGGCACATGCACTGTCGAGGGAGAGTGAGAGACAAACACAATGAGAGGGAAAATAAGAAATCATATGCCCCACCCCCAGCAAGGGATGGCCTTCCCACAATCCCTTTTCCTCCATTGTCCTCCCAGGATGTTGGGCACGCATACACACATGCCTGGTGTGTTTCGTGCCACTGGGTCCAAGACTCAAACTGCAGCCAGATGTGTGGGAGTCCAGCAATATCATCACTACACCATCTGCTGGTCCCTCCAGTGTAGTTGAAACTGACTGGCAATTTATGTCATCGCTATGTCTTGCTTAGAACATGTTTCCTCTTCCTTACAGCTTTCCCCAATTAGTGTTATTTCCTTTAATAAACTTCTTAATAGGTGCACTATTCATATGAATAGGTTTCCTTGTGTATGTAATATATCTTTATTTCCTTTTTAAGTTTATTTATTTTATTTCTTCTGTGAGTAAGAAAGTTGAGGAGACAGAGAGGGAGACAGAGGAGAGAGACAGACCACAGGGTCCTGATAACACAATCCAACCTTGGTACACCTGCTCATTTTTTTTTTTTTTAAAGAAGTTTTTGCTATAGGGGGCGTGCGCTCACCAGAGAGAGACAGAGACAGAAAAAGAGAAATCACCCCCCAGGGGGGATGGCCATGCCACAATCCCTTCTCCTCCATTTTCCTCTTGGGATCTTGGACACGCACACACATGCGCCCGGTGTGAGTTTTTTAGCCACCGGATCCAGGATACAAACTGCAGTCGACTATGTGGGAGTCCAGCGACATAGCCATTATGCTAACTGCTGGTCCCAGACCTGCTCATTTTTAATGGGTTGATTTTTTACCATTAGGCTTAAGTGTCTTTCTACATTTTGAACACAAGTCTTTTAGGAGAGAAGATTGTATTTCCTCCCAAATTGTAGTTGCATTTTCATTTATGTTTCTTTATATTTCAGCATGGCATATCAGACATACAATAAATATTCCCTATTTAGAAAATTGATAAAGTACTAAAATTTCAATTCTTTTGGAAATAAACCTAAACTGTGTACTACTCCTAACAAACAGAAAATTCTATTTTCATATAATAACTCAGAAATAGCATTATTTTACTATGCTGTTCAGCTTTTATTACAATGGTTGAATCTACACAGACTTCAAGTAGTACCCTAAAACTTTAAATAAATTCTCTATATCAGTATATGCCTTATTTCTCTTGCTCATAAAAATGAGAAAAAGTGATTTCCCTCCTACAAAACTTGTTGAGTCAAAGAATAAAGTTCACCTCAATTATCTTCAAACTCAATAAAACAATTAATTTTATTGAAAGATAGTGTTCTCTAAGAGTACTCCAAAGCCTTCAAGAATAACCACCAGTGTGTCTCAAACCTCTAACAAGTAGTCTTTTAATAATTTCATTACTAAGTACTGCCATCTCAAAACTCCAAGAAATTCTAACTAGAATTTGTTAAATAGTTACTAAAGACACTTAAACGCAAGCTGCATCTAGTCAATTACTAATAAAGAAAACCTCAATTACAGTAATGATATGCAGGTAAGGACTTAAAAAACACAAACAAAAAAACCATTATTGCATTATTATGAACATGAATTATCCAAATTCCATTTCTGAAATGGTCTTTGGAGTTAAAATGTTACTCTAATAGCTTACTCACTTTGATTGTTAGGATGAATCTAAACATTTAGGAGAGCAACACTCCAAATACATTCTCAATTAGGACAGGTTGTCCCCATTCCATCAACAGCACACTCAAAGCAACGTCCAGCTGGAAAGCATGCCCCAAATTACCACTCTAGATGCTTGCATCAGTGTCAGACCAAGGGTAGAATCTACTTGTCAAACCCTAAGAAGTCTTGTCCTAAAAAGCCACACTTGCAAGTCTTTCACCTCAGGTGAGGAACGGAAGCCACACAATGAACACACTGAGCATCAGGCCACCATCACCTACTCACCTTTTCTATAAGGAGTTTCTTGCTCATTGTCACACATCTATTTAATCGTTCCTTGTATTTCTCTAGCATCTTTTGCTGTTCATCAATCTGCCGTCTCAGATCACAATTGGCCTTCAACAGAAAAAAATTTTGTTAATGAGCTCCAAGGAAAAAAGCAACTTCTTGGGAGAGAGAAAAATCATTTCTATCCATTGTTAAATCAAAGGCACACTTGCGGCTCAAACGTAAGAGTATCTTTGCCTTAAAAAAAGGGAAGCAGGGCCAGCAGGTGGGTGGCATGGTGGTTAGGGTACTGAATCCCACACAGCCAACTCTGTGGATTGAGTGTTGGACCTGGCAACTTGAAAAACATGCCATGCATGTATATATGTGTGCCCAAAATCCCAAAAGGAGAATGGAAAAGAAGAGGTAGTGACATGACCATCCTCCACCTAGGGGATGATTTCCCACTCCCCGCAACCCTTGTGTGTCTCTCTCTGGTGAGTGTATGTGCTGCACAGCAAAAACTTACACACAAAAAAGAGGTAAACAATTCATTCCTTTATTCTCCCCTAAAATTTTTTGTTATTAATGATGAATTCTGTTATTAGAACTGGGCACGTTTTCTACTCATCTTACTTTGGGCCTTCCAATATCCAGTTACAGCTAATCTTTACATGACAAATGCCTAAGCTATTACAAAATACAATACAATAAAAACCAACAATGACTGCTTAAAACTACACATAGTGGCCAGCAGGTGACATGGTGGTTAAGGCACTGGTCTACTACATAGCCAACTGTGGTTCGATCCTGGACCTGGTGGCTTGCTTTCTCACTTTCCCTTTCTCTCTCCCCTTGTCTCTCTCTAGTCAAATTAAAAAATAGTAATAGGGACCAGCAGACAGCATAATGGTTATGTCGCTGGACTCCTTCATAGTCGACTATGGTTCAAGTCCTAGACCTAGCAGCTTAAAACTCATACCGGACGCACATGTGAGCCCAAAATTCCGAGAGGAGACAAGAGGAGAAAAGACTGTGATGTGGCCATTCCCTCTGGGGAGTGATTTCTTACTTTCTGTTTCTCTGTCTCTCTGTCTCTGTCTCTGTCTCTCTCTCTCTCTCCCCCCCCCCGGGCGAGCCAAGTATCCTACAGCAATAATCTCTCAATTAAAAAAAATAACAAATAAGTAAATTTAAAAAATAAATAAATAAAAATACATGTAACAAAGTCAGCAAGTGGCGTGGTGGTTAAGGAGCTGGACTCCCACATGGCTGACCATGTGTGGCTCAAGTCTCAAACCTGGTGGTGGGACCAGCAGTTAGCATAATGGCTATGTCGCTGGACTCCCATTTAGCTGACCGCAGTTTGAGTCCCGGACCCGGTGGCTTAAACTCACACGGGGCATGTGTGCATCCATACCAAGATCCTAAGAGAAGAATGGAGAAGGGATTGTGGCGCGGCCATCTCCCCAGAGGGTGATTTCTCGCTTTCTGTCTCTCTGCCTCTCTCTGTCTTTCTGGAGAGCGCAAGCTCCCTATAGCAAAAACCTCGCCCTCGCCCCCCCCCCCAGAAAAAGAAACCTGGTGGCTTGCTTTCTCATTCTGCCTCCCTCTCTCTCTCTCTTTCTCGCTCTCTCTCGTAAGCACATGTGCCCTACAGAAAATGTTTTTAAAAAAATAAATAAAATTAATCTTAAAAAGAGAAAAAAAACATGTAGTAAGTGATTAAGTATTTATAGATTAAATATTTACGAAGGGTGATTAAGCACTTCTCAAAAAATTAAGATTTTTTTAAAACCACACACTGTTCTTTAACGATTAGATCTTTGTTCTTCAATTCTCATTTCCAAACATACTTCACCAAAGAAGCCAGGCACACCCATGCCCACATAAGACAGAGCAAACAAACAAGGCCCTGACTCAAGAATGCAAGCACACAGTCAATTTAGCTGTGGTGAAAAGCCTTCAGGATGGGCTAAATACTTTGAAAAATTCAAGCCTTCTACAATAACAGAGAATGAAAGAACCACTAACCCAAAGTCAAATTTGACTTGCAATTCCTAAAATTTATCCTTGTATGTTAAACAAAAGATCTCTACTCTTCTGGCAAAAAGCTACTTTATAATAACTTGCTTGAATAATGAGGAAAAAAATCTGTTATTTCCCAATAAAATGATATAAGCAATTTTGAAATAGTACAAAGCACAAAAATAAGATATTACAGGGAACCAGCAGTTAGTGTAATGGCTATGTCGCTGGATTCCCACGTAGTCGACTGCGGTTTGCATCCCAGACCCGGTGGCTTAAAACTCACGCCGGGCGGGTTTTTGCTATAGGGCGCATGCGCTCGCCAGACAGACAGAGAGAGACATAGAGACAGAAAGCGAGAAATCACCCCCCAGGGGGGATGGCCACACCGTAATCCCTTCTCCTCCGTTCTCCCCTTGGGATCCTAGGCACGCACGCACATGCGCCCGGCATGAGATTTAAGCCACCGGGTCCGGGACGCGAACCACGGTCGACTACATGGGAGTCCAGCGACATAGCCATTACGCTAACTGCTGGTCCCCCAGAACACTCCATTTTTGACACTTTTCAGCTCTATTTTTGCGGGGGGATGGGTTTGCCATAGGGCACATGTGGTCACTGGACAGAGACAAAAAGAGACAAAGAGGAAAAGTGAGAAATCACTTCCCAGAGTTGATAACCACACCACAATCCCTTCTCCATTAGTCTCTTCTCAGAATTTTGGGCACACACACACACACAGTGTGATTCACAAGCTGCCAGGTCTAGAACTCGAACTACAGTTGGTCATGTGGGAATCCAGTGCCTTAACTACCACATCACCTGCTGGCCCCCCTCAGCTTCATTTTCAAAATAACCCATGTAAAACAGCTTCCATCTCCAAATATTTCTGTCCTCATCATAAGCATAATTTCTTTCGTGATTTTTCCTATAGGGCAAATGCAACTGCCAAGTGAGAAATAACCCTCCAGGGGGGATGGCGATGCTACAATCCCTTCTCCATTCTTAGGATTTTGGGCACAGAGGCACATCTGGTCTAGGACTCAAACTATAGAATCAGTCATGTAGGATCCAGTGCCTTAACCACCATACCACCTGCTGGCCCATAGTAGTTTTTCCTTTTTTTTTTTTGGAGAGGTTTTTTGCTATAGGGCATGTGTGCTCGCCAGAAAGACAGAGAGACACAGAGAGACAGAAAACAAGAAATCAGAACCACAGGGGTGGCCATGTCGCAATCCCTTCTCCTCCATTCTCGACTCTTGGGATCTTGGGCACACACAAGCACATGCCCGGCTTGAGTTTAAGCCACCAGGTCCGGGACTCAAATCACGGTTGACTATATGGGAGTCCAGCGACTTAGCCATTATGCTAACTGCTGGTTCCCATTTTTTTAAAGAGAGATTTGTTTGCTACAGGGCACATGCGCTTGTTGGAAAAACAGAGACAGAAAGAAAGGGAAAAATCACTCCCCAGGAGGAACGGCCACACTACAATCCCTTCTCCTCCATTCTCGACTCTTGGGATCTTGGAAAAACACACACACGAGACCAGCGTGCGATTTGTAGCCACCGGGTCCGGGACCCGAACCGCGGTCGACTACATGGGAGGCCAGCGACTTAGCCATTATGCTAACTGCTGGTTCCCATTTTTTTAAAGAGAGATTTGTTTGCTACAGGGCACATGCGCTTGTTGGAAAAACAGAGACAGAAAGAAAGGGAAAAATCACTCCCCAGGAGGAACGGCCACACTACAATCCCTTCTCCTCCATTCTCCTCTTGGGATTTTGGGCACACACGTGCATAGCCCTGGAATGAGTTTCAAGCAGCCAGGTCTGGGACAGAAACCATGGTCAGCCATGTGGGAGTCTAGCAACGTAACCATTACACTGCCTAGAATGGCAAAGTGTAACTACATTTGGATAGATTTGACTAACCCATACTAAAGCATCTAAAAGCCAAAGATCACAAATTTAAGTGAAATCCAATCTATTTTTGGAAGGTGAGTGTTCCCTTGCTACATGCAATCAAACATATGGAATCAATCAAACTCTGGCAACTTATTTAAAAATGTCAGGAATTTTACATTTTTTTTTATTTTATTTTTTTAGGAATTTTACATTTTTGTGGTTGCTAACACTAATGTCTTCTAGAAGTTTATATTTATAGTAGCTGAACCCAATGCAACTATACTATCCCACTAAAACGGAAAAATTCAATGAATGACCTGTGTCTGCCTACAAGGAAATATGACAACTTATGGTCTTTCCCCCCACTGTCTATCCTCCAGATCAGAAACACAAATTCTAGTCAACTCCAAAACTTGGCAGTTGCCTTCATGTCTTCCTCTCTGACAGAGATGCTCCAACACCTTTCTACATCCAGGCAAAGGCCACAAGGTTCAGAAGACAATGAAGTGGAGGCAGCAGTGGTGAGTAAAGGAAACAGACTGCTTCCTGGACAATAGGGTGCCACTTGTTTTTTTATTTGTTTGTTTGTTTTAATTTTTGCTATCAGGTATGTGTGAGACAGACAGAGAGAGAGAAGGAAAATAAATCACCCCAGGTGGGATGGCCATGCCACAATCCCTTCTCTTCTAGGGATTTTGGGTACACACACACACATTCCTAGTGTGTTTCTCAAGCCACCAGGTTCAGGACTTGAATTGTGCAGTCAGTCACATGGGATTTAGCAACTTAGCCACTGCCACCTCCTAGCTCTGGCACCATTTTTTTTAAATGCAAAAAAAAAAGTATCAACTTAAGGGAATAAGGCCTGAAGCAGGAAGATAAGCCCATAACCCTTTTTCGGTCCATTAGAGCTATTCTGAATAAAAACCTGCCAGGGGGACCAGCAGTTAGCGTCATGGCTATGTCACTAAACTCCCATGTACCCGACCATGGTTCAAGTCCCGGACCTGGTGGCTTAAACTCATGCCGGGCGCGTGTGCGTGCATGTCCAAGATCCCGAGAGGAGAATGGAGGAGAAGGGATTGTGGCATGGCCACCCCCCCGGGGAGTGACTTCTCGCTTTCTGTCTCCCTATCTCTGTCTTTCTGGTGAGTGCTCGCACCCTATGGCAAAAATCTCTCCAAAAAAATAAATAAATAAAATTAATTAATTAATTTTTTAAAACCTGCCAGATACTGGAATTTGGCTAGGAAATTTTCTTTCCTCCCTTTTTAACTTCCGGAGAGAGAGGGAGAAAGAGGAAAGCACCTTCCAATGGAGTGCAGGTACACTGCACTACCCCTACTTCATTTATCCATCCTGTCAGGATTTGGGGCATAGATGCACACACAGCCAGAATGTTTTTCAATCTGTCAGGGCCAGGAATCAAACCACCGTTCAGCCATGTGGGATCCAGATCTGTTAATCACTAATCTAGATTACGATGCCTGACTGGCTAGAAACTTTTAATAGGCCAAAATTATCTCTATATTATCCATATAATGCTCTGTCATGAAAGCCCTGAAGGTTCTTGGGCCTCACGGAGCTAATTTGAAATGACTGCATTACTACAAAGCTAGATAAAACCTTGCATGTCCTCAATCACTAGAGAAGATCAAAATGCTACCCTACTCTATATATGCATTTGTATATATGCTACAAATGGTCCAGATGTAACTGAGGGGAAACATTTTAACTCAGTTAATAGAATGACGGGTGACACATTTTTCTAGTCTTTTGTTTATCATAAAGATCATGCTTTTTATAAAAAGAAAACAATAAACGTTTCTTACTTATTTTCACGAACAAGTTATTATGGCAAACTGTATATTTAAACATATATATATATTTTTTTTCTAATATCATGGTTTATCTTCTAGAACTTATCTTTTAAATTCCATGCTCATCATTTTAAAACTTTCATAAACAAAACTTTAGATGAATACGTTATAAAAGGTACAAAATTTCTCTGAGAAAAGAAATTTTACAATTCAAAAATACTGGGACCAGGAGATGGTGTAATGGTTACATCGCTGGACTCCCACACAGTCGATTGTGGTTTGAGTTCTGGACCAGACGGCTTAAAACTCACACTGGGTGCATGAGCATGAGTGCCCAGAATCCCGAGAGGGGAATAGACGAGAAGGGACTGCAGCACAGCCATCCCCCTTTGGGGAGTGGTTTCTTACTTTCTGTCTCTCCAGTGAACAAACATGCCCTATGGCAAAAATCTCTCTCTCTCTCTCAAAAATAAATAAGTAAATAAATTAAAAATAAATAAATAAAAACCAGGGAACCAGCAGTTAGCGTAATGGCTATGTCGCTGGAATCCCACGTAGTCGACCGCAGTTCGCATCCCGGACCCGGTGGCTTAAAACTCACGCCGGGCATGTGTGCGTGCGTGCCCAAGATCCCGAGAGGAGAATGGAGGAGAAGGGACTGCGGCGTGACCATCCCCCCGGGGGGTGATTTCTCGCTTTCTGTCTCTCTGTCTCTGTCTGTCTGGCAAGCGCACGTGCCCTATAGTGAAAACCTCTCCATAAATAAATAAATAAATAAATAAATAAATAAAAATCAAGAATATTGAAAAAGGGCCAGCTCCACTGAATAGCAGTTAAGCACTATGCATAAGGAGCTGGATCTCACATGGCCAACTGCAGTTCAAATCCTGGACCTGGCAGCTTGAAAAACACCCTTGGTGTATGTCCCTGTTTCTCTCATGTGTGGACTCTCTATCATTTAAGAAAAAAAAAATTTCTCATCTAGACATCAAATCAGTATCAAATTTCTAATCTAAAGAATAAAGATGTGATTCTCGTTCCTACTAAGATTCCTTCATATTACAGAAAAATGTCCAAATGATTTTATTATTTAACTTTATTTGACTATAGTTGTTATTTCTCTGATATGCACATAATTCAAATATACTTAACTGGTGCGTGCCATAATATCTCTTACCATATTTTAATACTTACTCTTAATAAATCATCTATTCTTCCTTCCTTCTTCTCTAAGTCAGAATTCTTACTGTTTTCTAGTGCAGATATTTTTTCTATTGTGAGGTCAGACTATAAGAGACAAAGACAAAATAAATGTAGGATTAATCTCAAAACATCACTTGCCATTGCACTTTTCTCAATACTTTTCTGAATAAAGAACTTGTAGCACAAACAGCCTGGGATGGTATCATTCCAGATAGTAAATCTGCTTCCTTCACTGCATTCTTAAGTCTCAGCTGGATTTCATACATCCTGCTATTTCCGGCACTTCAAAAACATGCCAATTCTGGAATCAAATATACTAATTCTCAAACTGCTGCACATTTAACAATACAAATATGCATTACTGTAGAAATGAAACTAACTTTGAATAGAAAAGAACTTCAAAGGAGACATGAACCACATCTCTATAGAACAAACATGCCATCTAGTGGAAACAAAGAGCAATCAGAAAGGGAAAGGTGAAGTTAGCTGGGTGCTCAACTACTAAGTTTGATTAACTAAACAAAAGCCAGTGATTCACATAAAACTAAAATAAGCTCAGGAGAGTCACAGAGCTCTTGATTTTAAGAAATAGTCCTACAGTGCCAGGGGGTGGCACAGCGGCTGGGGCACCGGACTCCCATCTGGTTGACCACATTTTGAGTCCTGAACCTGACAGCTTGCTTTCTCACTTTGTCTCTCTCTCTGTCATCTTTCTCTGGTGAGTGCACATGCCCTAAAGCAAGTCTAAAATAATAACAATACACAAAAAGAAATATTCCTACATTGCCAAGGATTCTGTCTTGAAGGCAACACAGATAACGGCACCAAAACAGGCTGAAAAAAACCCCACTATACTATTGGCTAACTCAACGCTATGAAATGAACAACCTATCCATCATCCTTTCAGCTTTAAATATTCACAACATTCCCTAATTAAAGAGTTCCTGAAAACTGTTTAAGGAGTAAATTATGTTGGTACACCACATCTTAGAGAAGTTTAGCAAGGTCTTGCAAATAAGCAGGCAACTACACGGAATAAATGAACTATTAATGCTTTCATAAAGTAAGGAAGTAATGTTTATTGAATGTCTATTGTAAGCACTGTCTTAATCAGCATTTTGTATCTACTGTCTGCTATCGTTACAATCAACCACATTTTACACATGATTTATACTGAGAAAACTGATGCCTAACAAGACATTGTATGAGCTACAGAGCCAGAATTTGAACCCAGGCCAGAGGCTTTCAGAGCGCAATTTTCAACACCATGCTGTAGTTCTTTTATTTTTTGGAGAGGTTTTCGCTATAGGGCATATGCACTCGCCAGAAAGACAGAAGAGACACAGAAAGACAGCAAGAAAAATCACCCTCCATGGAAGATGGCCACGCCGCAATCCCTTCTCATCTATTCTCCTCTCGGGGTCCTGGGCATGCACGCACACACACCCAGCGTGAGTTTAAGCCACTGGGTCCAGGACACAGACTGTGGTCGACCACATGAGAGTCCAATGACATAGCTATTACACCAACTGCTGGTCCCAACACCATGCTGTAGTAACAAGCATTTCTGCTATAACAAACTAGAAAGGTAAACAAAGGTCTAAAAAAGTTAAAGCACCTTCCAAAGGACTTGAAATACCCCAAATGCAAGTTCTGCATGAAATATACACAAATAATAAGATAAGGTTGGAGAAATAGGGGGGAAACAAAGAGAAGAATCAAAAAGTTCATATATGGTTAGCATTTATTCCCAGGCAGGTCTTCTCCCCTACTGTTCATTGATCACCAGCCTACCTGGGTCTGTCTGTGCTGGATGGAGATCTGTTTTTGGGAGCTGCAGGAAAATGTGTTGCCAGATCCTGTAGAAGAGGGACTGTTCTGCTGAGCCTGTAATAAAGATACATTACCAATCACAGGAAGTTCTGCATCTTTCTCCACAAACATTCTATGAATGCAAATGTTTACCACTAGATAAAACAAACCCTTGGCCACGCGGCCAACAGGACAGAAAAGCAATTCAAATATGAGACACAAGGGCTAGACCTGGTGGCTTTGACCATGTTCCCATGAATAGGTTTTAAGTATCAAATGGCTATAAATGAAATTTTTAATAAGTAAAATAGAGAAAATAAAAAGTTAATTCTTGTTAATAACTTACCTTTCTTTAAAAGAATTACTTTATTTACCCTCATTTATTTATTTACTTACTTACTACTTATTTTAATTTGACCAGAGAGGGAGAGAGGGAAAGCAAGAAAGCAAGCCACCAGGTCCAGGACTCAAACCACAGTCAGTCATGTGGGAGTCCAGCGTCCTTAACCACTATGTCACCTGCCTGCCCCAATAACTTGTCTTTTTCATTTGAATTTTAATATGCTTTTGACATAAAAGGGTTATTGAAGCATCCAGTGCACAGGGGAGACATGTGAGAAACTAGGCAGAAAGGACTGAGAACCACTATTCAGAACAGTCTCCTACACATGCAAATAAAGACACACAGGTCTAAAAATCCATGCTGCTTTCCAGTATGTCACTTGCTGACTGGGCATTCTAAGGCGCTTTTAATTCTATACAGTTTAGGTTTAATATAATTCAACTGTTCAGGAATATACATTCCTTACATTCTCTAGTCCTTTTAAAACAAGGCTTAATTGCCCCTTACTCAGCTGCTATGATCCATCACACACATTAACAGGCAACAGTAGATCTTCTTAGGATCACAGGGTAATGGAAATAACAGCACTACCATCTCATTAGAGAAAGCAGTGTTTCCAGGTATCTGAAATTTGTTTAAAGAATTATTTTATTGAGCATTTATTTATTTATTTAAATTTGAGCAGAGAGAGAGAAAGTAAGAAAGCAAGTCACCAGGTCCAGCACTCCAACCACGGTTGGCCGTGTGAGGAGTCCAGTGCCCTTAACCACGACACCAGTATTTAAATGTTTTCATACTTACTTTTTTTTTTTGGGGGGGGAGGTTTTTGCTATAGGGCGTGTGCACTTGCCAGAAAGAGAGAGACAGAGAGAGACACAGAAAGTGAAAAATCACCCCCCAAGGGGAGATGGCCACACCATGATCCCTTCTCCTCCATTCTCCCCTTGGGATCTTGGGCACACACAAACACGCACGTGTGCCCGGCGTGCTCTCAAATTTTTCCATACTTTCTACACATTCCTTTGATTACTGTTCTTACTTATCAACAATGGTATAACTACCATCTACTGAGCAATCAGACTGTAACTTGAGAAACAGGCCAGGCACATATGTGTACATGCCCAAAATCCTAAAAGGAGAGAGAAGTGGAGAAGGAATTGCAGCATGACCATTCTAGAAGGAATTAGTGTGACCATTCTCCATGTGGGTGATGTCTCCTCTCTCTGTCTCTGGCAAACACACACATACTCTAGGAAAACAAACAAACCAACCTTAAAAAGGAATTACTATTTCCATTTTACAGAGATTGAAAATGAAAATCAGAGACATTAAGCACCTATGTGAGGTCACACAGCTAGTGAGGGGAGGTGCAGAACTGAGGGATGTCTGCATCCACAGTAATGCTCTCAACGGCCACAGCAGACTCCCCCGACCAGGTCATAAGCAAACTAAGCACTTCATATACATCCCTTCTGTTAAGGCTCACAACAGCCTCACAAGGTAGATAAATTCTATTTTCTTTTTAAGTTTATTTATCAGTTTCTTCCATGAGAGAAGGAGACAAAAAGAAAAGGGTGACAGGGAGGACCTCCAACAGGGTCCTCACATCACAGCTCCACCAGCCAGGATCACCACACGCAGCGAGACTCAGAATACAAACCATTATGGCCTCAGCATAATAGAGAGCTGCTTTACCATTGTGGCTGGGCTGCGAACTCCCCT